TTGCGAATGATAGACTTTATGCTCTATAACTTAATGAACTATAAAAATCTGTTTTATGTTCACATTCACGCCATAAATGCTGCCGCTACAGTGAACATCGAAGAGTGTGTGACCGGCTACTGTTTGGCTTTCTGTTCCAGTACAAATTGCATTTTTGTATTGTTTTAATAGCTGAACGATCGGGAGGACTCTCTGCTTATATGGAATATTTGTGCTCAAGTTTACAACTGGATTTCCTTATAGCATTGGCCATTACTATTGCATAATAGCCATTAGGCATATTTGAAAGAGTAATCCCAGCGAACTGCCAGACAAGTTAGCTGCCGTTAAGATATTTCACACAGCGGCCTCTTTCAAAGAAATATCTTAAATCATAATGCGTGTAAGTGAGCATTACAACAACAAATGGCCTTCATAAGGCGGCTCCGAGTCGAACAGCCGCAACAGCAACAGCAACAAACTTCAAATTGGCCAATCAAAAGCTCAAAAATAAAAATATCGTTTGGCTTTTAACAAGAAATATGCGGCAGGTGTAAGTGTGTGTGTGTTAGAGAGAGATGCAACATTGCAGGCACTTTGTGTGGCACTTTATATAAGCTGAACGCGCGGCACAACAAAATTGCAGCACTTAACCAATAACAAAATCACAGATTGCAACAATTCAACAATTCAAGCAACAAATGTTGTTACCACAAAAATTTTACTACAAAAAAGTGTAAGAAAATACAAAAATATATAAACAAAAGACGCACTTGGCCTTTCACTTTGAACAAAGTCATTAAAAGGTTTGCAAAAAAAAGGTTTTAAATGTAATAACAACATATGTAAGCATCCAGAAACAAGAGTTCAGTAGAAAGTATCCGACTCGGAGATACCTTGAAGCATAAAAACTGAATTGTTATGTTATATGAGTATATAGTAATATGGAACTTGTTATATCTTGAAAGCTATTGCGTATTAAAAATGAAATTTTACATAAACGAGAAGCCGACGTTAAAAACCAAATCTAGGACTGAATTCACAAGATTAAACGGAAGTCCGAGAAATGTTTATTCCAGTTAATTTTATAAGCAAATTCTTCAATGCAATTACCCTAATCTTTTTTTTATTTTTAACAAAAAATATATTAAGCATAAATAAAATTTCAAAGTACAAAATATGAACAAAAGCGTAAAAAACATTAACGGAAATAACAGAAGCAACAACAAAAACAATTTATAATTACTCCAACAAACGGCATTTCGAAATGCTCTCATTAGTTTTTGATTTTGTCAAGGGAACATTAGAATTTGCTAAGCCCATTAATAATTGTCTCTTATACGTAAATATCTACACATAATATATACTTACATATGTGCATATGTATATCTTTTTTATATGTAACTCATTAGGTGGAACCTCATTAACATAATAAGCAGAGAACATTAACAGTGAATGAGCAGCAACAGCAGCAGCAAGCGAACAACAGCAACAGCGCGCGCCACATGTAGCACTTGCAAAGTCTATCGCATGCAACAAGTCGCTTTACATTGAAATATCCAAATGTTCACAGGAAATCATCAAAATGTGCAAGCGCAAGTTGAATATATCCAATAAGACTTTTTCACACACACACACACAACCAAACAAACAAAAGTACGCACGCTGCTTGCTGTTCTGTTGTTGTTGCTGTCTCTGTTTGTTGTGCTCTCTTAGCTCTTGGGCGCCAAAGGGGCAAGCCAGACCAACAGCCAGACCAAGAGGGAGAGAGAAAGAGGGCAAAGGCAGAGAGCGCGCGCGAGTGCGTCACACACACACTTACAGCTACAGCTGTGTTGCTTATTTGTTCACTTTGGCCCCCTCTTCAATTCGGATTTGTTTTTTTTTTTCATTTTCTTCTTTTCTTATTGTTGTTGCTGCGTGCGGGGTTGCAAAGGCAAGAAAAATCGAAAGCGCCATCGCCGGTGGTGGCTTCGGTCGTGGTCATTGCACAGTGGTTGCCACCCAAAACAATTGTTGATCGGGCGTACAGATAAAAAGCCAAAGCAAAAGCAAAACAGATCTGGCAAAAGTTCGGCTACAACAAATTGTCGGAGAGATAAATGCATGTTACAGCTGTTAACACATTTTGTACCAGTGTGGCTAGCTGGTGTTTTGCTGATAATGACGATGATGCGGATGATGACGACAAGCAGTTGAAAAGTCAAAGTCAAATGCAAGACATACAACAAAACAACAACCATAAACCATGCACACCCTGTGTGTACATGAATACAATAACAACAGAAAGCAAAACAAGTTTTCACTTTTATTTCTTTTGTTTTTTTAAGAGTTACTTGGCCGTGCGTTAGTTAGGGTAGGGGTAAGGGGTCTTGCCGTGTAGCATTCATTACCAAACGGCGATTCAATTGCATTTTGTTGTTGCTGCGGCAAATTGTGGCCATAATGAATTGCATAAGCCGGAATCGCAGTCGCTCAGCTACATTTGGTCAGCTGCAGAGGTGATGTTGGGACTGAGAGTGAGAGAGAGAAAAGCGCTCAAGATTTGCGCACTAACAAAACTAGCTAATCAAGACGCAATTGAAATAACGCACATAACACAAAACATGACCATATAAAGCAACGACACATTCACAAATTCCCAAAAATGGCTAATCGACAACAAAAACCATTCAAAGCAACAAAAATGATATGTAATCAGGCGCGCTCACTCACACTCATAGTAACAAACATTCCACGCATACGGTAATCGCATCGTGTACTTCATTCATGCATTAAGTTCGCTCTCATTCTCATTCTTGTCCATTGTTTCAACTGGCCTTGCCTTGGCGCTCTTTTCGCAAATCCAATTCCCATTCCAATACCCATTGCCAGTGGGTTGTGTCAACGGGGCACACCGTAATTGGGAGTGGGAATGGCGTTGAATTAGCTCATTTACTTATTATTGTTACACACGAGCGAAAAAAAAATAGCGGAACAAGCGCGAGTTTTGAGCTTGAGCTTAAATGCGTCATTGAAGGCAGAAGTGCTCCAACAAAAAAACTGTACACAATGCAAATATGCACAAAAAACAAGTGGATTATGCGACAAAAGCTTAAAAACAAATTTGACGGAAGCAGCCAAGGAGAGTGCACAAATACAAGCACATAATTTCTATGCAATTCCCAATTAAATTGATGATCAAAATGTGCGGGAGCCATCAATCAACCACCAGATCAAAAGAGTATCTTTACACAATCTTTTGGGTTGGTTTTACGCACACTTTATCAATCATTGCTTATTATACAACACACTAAATAAATTCCATTAAGATAAAAACCCCAATTAGAAATTCATTGACGAAAAAAGTTCATAGTCATGTGTGGAGAGTGTGTTCCAGTATGTCTACGAGAGTTTCATAAGGGCTCTCTCTTTCTTAAACACACATACACACACACACAGAAACAAATGAGCGCACTGCTAGCATGCTAATCACATACACGAAGTAACAACAACAAACATAAACAGCAGCAAAAGGCAAACACACAAAAATAACAAAATTAACAACTCGCCTGGCAACTGAAACAGAGGAGCTGCTCGTTTGCTGTTGTCGACTTGCTTCCCTTTGCTTGGCGCCTGTTCAAATAAGTTTCAAATTTTGACAAATAAAACCATGGTTTTGTAATTTACGAGCGTCGCTCGTTTGCATCATGATTGAGCAGAGACGGCAACGACTACGACGACCTCAGTTGAGTGGAGTTTCCCACGCCCATTATTCACACTCAGAACACAACGGCACTCTAACTCGCTCTCCCGCTCTTCATGTTTGACTCCTCCATGGCGAGAGCGCAATAAAAAGGGATTATATGCAAGTATGTAGGCATATAGGCATATTTGACTGTGTGAGTGTGTATGTGTTTCTTGGGGGGAGTCGGGCGATAGGCACGAGTTTGAGTGAACCGAAAGAAGCTGCAACATCATCTCCCCGTCTAGACGTTTGATTACCGGCACACAAACACAGGCGCAAACACATGCACTTAGACACAGGACGCAGCGCAATATGAAGAAGAGCAAAATGAAGAGAAAGCGCAATCAGCCAGAGGCCAAGGCACAGTGAACTCGAATGTCGTTAGATCGTCCCCAAATGATAATTGCATGGCCATTTGTATTTTATTTATTGGTTAAGCGGATTTTCTCATTTTTTTGCGTTTCTCTCTTTCCTTATCACTTACATATTAATGTGGCATGCGTTATTTTTAATGTATTTAGGTTTGCTGTATTAGCAAGATAAGGTTTAAATCAAAATTGCTTGGATTTATTATTATGTATTATTTTTAAGGCCTTCAAAATATTACAACACACGTTTTTGTTTCTGGCAATCACGCCTTTAGAATCAGTGTGCGGCGCAAAACCAATATTAAAATTAATGCATATGACCAATTTCACTCAAATGCAAGCAACTGAGTTTTTTCTCATTTAAGACAGTTCCCTTCCAATGCTGCTTGCAGTGTTCATTCATTTTTTCACTCAATTCCAAACGCAATTAATCTAAGCAGATTTTGTGAATTCCCAGAGCGGAAGATGAGACCATATCTCTCTCTGTCTCTCCCTCTTTCACTCTATAAATAAGCAGCTTCCATTTCAAAGCCGATTCGCTGCAACGGCTTAGGGAACAAAGGTCTTGACAATGTCATCTGATAATATTGTTTCTACCTGACATAACGATTTAGCGTATAAATGTGATTTCGTTACAGTGCATTAATCAGCATTTCGAATATTTTCTTTCACACTGCTAGCGAAATGAATTTCTTAAGGTTTCAGTACAAAAGCAACCACTGTGCTACGTTGGAAGAAAGGCAGAGTAACGGTAAGGGGTACAGCGCCAATGACAAGGCTTGTCAAGGACTGTGCACACTCGATGCCAGGCAAAGGTCACACAATCAGCACGCCGGAGCCTTGACTTTTGCACTTTCGTCAAATGTTTGCGCCGTCAAAATCAAACACTGCACCAAAAAAAAAGAGACGTGCAAAAATAAACTCACCACACAGCCAAATGCTTCAAGTGTCGTCGCCTTCTGGGCGTCCTTTTTGTGCAGTGGTGAAATTAAGATGAAACTGGAATTTTTCGCAGACTGCGTCTTTGCGCGCTTCTGTTTTGATTTCGTTGCTGCTGCTGTTGTTGTTTTTGTTGTTATTGTTATATTGACTGCTCTCTCAGCTGCTTGCGTTTGTATAGGTATTTTTTATACGCTGAGCGTGTGTCTGTTTTATAAATCCTTTTGTTTCGCTGCTACTTTTTGGCGCGCAATTTTCGTTTTATCTCGCTGCTGCGTAGCTTTAGCTGTTGTTTTTACTTGTTGTTGTTACAGTTGTTATTTGCATATCACGTTTTGCTGCTTGCCTAATACGAAACAACAGCTACAAACACAATAACAACAAACAAACAAAAACACGCACACACAGACAAACGTTTGCCGAAAGGAAGCTGCGTCCGTTTTTTTTTATTTTTAAATTTTCGCTGGAACTTTCCTTTTTGTATCTTATTTCTTTTGGACTTGCAATTAACTAAGTAAATAATAAGCACATTTATTTATTGTCACTGCTAAAGATTTTTAAATGTGAAACAAATGTTTGGGCTCCGACTCCGAGCGACGGCGACGCGTTGGCGACAATAAGCGACACGAAAAAGTGACGTCCGTCCTGTTTGCACGTTTTCAACGAACTGAGAGCCACAAACAAAACAAAAAACTCTCAGAGTTCAAAAGCAAAACAAGTAACTGTGCATCCGAAAGAGTGGAGGTCGACTTTATTATACACTGTAATTAATAATAAGCGCGACCCCTATAAATATATATATATTTATTTGTAGAAATTATTGTTTTGCAGTATTAATAAACATATCTTTGTGTATATTTTTATATACATTTGTAATACAAAATTAAATAAATTATTATATATATTAATTTATTTCGTTTATATTTATATAAATTGTACAATTATGTAAAGTGATGAGCTATACAAAAAAGTGTCTCTGGGTTCAGAGGTATCAGATATAATCAAATTAAAACTATTATGAATAAAGCACATAAATGTGTAACTAACTGTTCTTTTATTTTCGTATTTATATTTAATCATTTTATTTAATATAATTAAATTAAACAATTGTAGATTAATAAAATAAATATATTAGTTCTTATAGTTAATAAAAGGGAATATTACATTTGAATTTAAACAGCATATCAGATTGCAAGCAGTGTGGCCGCGCAACTTTCGCTAAGAAAATACCAAAACAAAAAATACTAAAATGCAAAATACAACTCTGAGCACAGTAAGAACCAAAACATTTGTTTTTCTTACACAGTACACAGTTGTTAATTATTATTGTTTATGCGTCGTGCAGTGCAGCGACAAGCGGACGGGAGCGAAGTGGAGTGAAAGATAAAAGCGCGACTCAGCGAAATTAGATACGAAGCGAGAAATTTGTAACACATTAAATATAGATATATAAATATTGCACATGTGTCTGCGTGTGTGAATGTGGGGGTGAATTATTGTTGCTGATGAAGTAGCAAAGATTATAAAACAAGTAACGGAAACAGCTGTAGAATGCAACGTAAAGAAGATCAAGAAAGGTTGCTGAATGCGGAGGAGGGGCAACAGTCGGAGCAGGAAGATGACTCAATGCTGGGTGGGGAGCAGGATAACGCTAGTTTTGTGCCTGCCTTTTCGCCACAGTACAACATCGACGATGACGAACGTTGTCTGCTGGAACGCGAACAAGACGAGGTGGTGCAGTTGACCAATGCTCCGAGAAGTGGAGCTGCCTTAACCTATTGTGTCTTCTACCTGCTTGGCATTGGAACGATGACACCCTGGAATTTTTTTGTCACCGCCGAAGATGTAAGTAGAGCGAGGATAGCAACTTGCCTACCCTATTTCCGTCCCGCACTCTCTCTGCTTCCATTGAGCCCGCATTGTGCATTTACGACGCTGTCTAAGACTTTTCTTATCTGGCATTGTTTTTTATGGTTGTTGTTTTCGTTCTCTTTCCCCCTTGTTGTTGTTGTTGTTATCATCTCTAGTTTTTCTTTGTTTGCGCTATTTTGGCTGAGTCAAACGTTCCCCTCTCCCTTGCGCCGCAGCTCAACGAGCAATTGATTAACCGTTACTGCCTCTTTGGACTCGGTTCACCCTGTAACCATTTATGGAGTGTATCGGGAATGCTTGATTTGCTATTGAGAATATTTACAAACTGATATTACTTTAAATTTATATGAATTATCATACATTCATATCGTTTAAAATACAAAAGAATTTTATTAAAAGTAACAAATCTTTTTTATAGTCTTACTTTAGTATAGAAATCTAAGCAACGCCTATAAAGCCACATTCAAATTGTTTGGAGATCAATTTACAGGGTATTGCCAAGTCAGTACACTAAATTATAGCAGTTTTTGCAATATATCGTCATAAAGTTCTAATTCATAATATATATAAACTCTTACAGGGTATCATATAGCTTATAGAACTACTCTAACAGGGTATCAACTAGTCGGCGACACTAAAGGCAGATATCGAACAAGTGTGTTTCCCTCATTATACAACTATTACAGAGTATCGCCAAGTCAGTCATCACGCAGTCACTGACACACACTCAACCGCTTACCTTACCATTTGCAGTATTGGAAATACAAATTCCGCAACACAACACTGAATGGGACACAGCCCGATGAGGAGCTGACACCTTTACAAAAGAGCTTCACCTGCGACTTGGCCTTGACAGCGACCATATCTGGCACCACGTTCCTTTTGCTGAATGCCGTTTATGGCCACTATGTGTCGCTGCGAGCCAAGATGCTGGGCACACTCTTCACCATACTCGTGCTCTTCGGCATTACGACGGGATTCGTGGAAGTGAACACGGATAAGTGGCAGGAACAATTCTTTCTAATCACCCTAATCATTGTGGTCATACTCAACAGTGAGTGAATCATAGAGATGCCTTTATGCCCGTATTTATATGCATTTGTTATTTCTAGCTTCTGCTGCGACCATGTCGGGCGCTTTGTATGGCGTCGCTGGCCTGTTCCCCTCGGAGTATATGACAGCTGTGGTCAGCGGTCAGGCCCTGGGTGGCATTATAACAGCTTTGGCATTCCTCTTGGTGCTGGCCTTCGATGCTGGACCCTCGGCTACGGCCTTCGTTTTCTTCATCATGGGCGCTGTGCTCATTCTCGGCTGCATCATTTGCTACTCGCTGATGGCGCGCAAGGCGTACTTCCAGTATTATCTGGAGGGCGGAGACAAATTCAAAGTGATCAGCGCGCTGCCACCCTCGCACAGCCGCGAAGTCGAGGAGACAGGCGTGCCACTTGAACCGATTTTTCAGCAGGTATTGGGCAAGATCTACGTGCAAGCGGCATGCATCGCCCTGCTGTATGCAACGACCTTGTCCGTCTACCCAGCGGTGACAATACTTATGCAATCCGAACATTCCGCCAGTCACACCGTGTGGAGTGGTATGTCTAACAGACTGATATTAACAGTCTTTGCGCGGCCATAAAGCCTAAAACTGTTTCCCCTCTTCCAGATGTCTATTATCTGCCCGTTGTGAACTACCTCTTCTTCAATTGTGGTGACTACTTCGGCAGACTGTTCGCCGGCTGGCTGGAGTGTCCGAGGAATCAGTATACGACGTTGCTGTGGACTGTGGTGCGTGTGGTTCTTGTGCCGTGTTTCCTCTGCTCCAACAGTAGCGAGCATCAGTTTCTGCCGACGCTGGTGAAGCACGACTACACGTTCATAGCTATGATTCTAATATTTGCGCTATCTAATGGATATTTAACAAATATATTGCTCATAATGGCGCCAAGGTGAGTGCCTGTGGATGCCCTGTCAAAGGAAACCCTCATATCTATAATTACTTTTGCAGGAGCGTCAAGCAGCACGAGAAGGAGCTGGCTGCATCCATAATGGCTGCTTCGTTGAGCGTGGGCATGGCCGTTGGCTCGCTGCTGAGCTTGGCCTTTGTACAGATGCTGTGACTGTTATCTTGCCACTTCCCACTCCCAATACTGCGAGGTGCCTTAATCATAGTGTAAACAAATTAATAGTTAATCAATGTTTTTATCTATATATATTTTTTATATTTTTTTACGTCCCATTTTGTGTCAAAATTTTACCATGTCTGCAAGACGAACATATCAAAGCGAAATTATTTTATTACCTGTAAGCTTTTAACATATGGTTGTCGAGCTTTTTATATAAATATTGTTAAAGCGATAGAGAGGAGATCAGCTTAATCAAAAATAAATGTAAAGTCTTTGTTTTTAAGGTAATTCTGTTTGTTTAACGTTTATTTTGGTTTCTGCAGATCACAACAACAATGTGGATTAATTCGATTTAAATGTAGGTTTTAGTTTTTAAGTTTTAGTTTTCCATTCTCGTGTTTACTTTGACATTTAACTAATGAACTCCACTGTTAATTATGTGTTTTATGTATTGTATATATTGACATTGACCGCTTACACATTTATTTATTGGAAATTACACTGTTTTTTTTCATTCGTATTAAGTTTTTTCGCCCTGTGTATCAACTGGTAAACTGTTACTTTTTATTCAAAATTTAACTGCCAAGTGCACATTGATAAAGTAGTTGGTAACGCTCACTGGTTATTAACTGCACTTTCACTCAATTCCATATGCTTTCAATTCAGTGTTGAGTGAGACTCATTGAAACTGATATTCCACTCAATATAGTTTAGCTACGATTTTGTACTCAAAATAATAAAGTTCGAAAATATGTCAAACAATTGAGTCTTTTTACTAACAACTTTTACTCAAAAGCTGTTGAGTCATCGCTTTGCCGCATTGACGCTCTTTGACTAGTCCGTTCAGCTCGACGAATAGTCATCACGTTGTTCCTCTCGCACAGCGACTGACTCTCCCTTTTATTGCAGCTTTCCTTTTCAGTCAGACCAATGCTCAGAGATCAGAAAAATTATTACTCAATTATTTTTGAGCAAATGCAATTGGTTGGTAATGATATTCTCATTGAGTGATAATAGTATATGCTGCCATTTTGTTATGCTCTCTGAGTGAGTCTTAAGTGACCTGCAGCCATTTTTACTTATTTTTGTGAAAAGAATTGCAGCCATTTTGTGTTCTCTTTTTTTCAAGTGTAAAGTGAGTTTCGGCCATTTTGTTTGAACTCCAATCACAGGGCGTTTCAATGTGTTTAAGGATTTCTTGTTTAACTTGAATTTTATATTTAGTGCACAACTGTAAATTGTTAATATGCATTAAAACGTTATTTAAATTCTGCTTGACATTTAGAGATCGTTTGTAAAACTGTAAATGTTTCTATACTTTAACAATGGGGAGCACTTGAATGCGTCTGGTCTAAACATTTAATTAGCTAAGTTATTTTTTTTTAATACTTATGCAACAACAAATTCGTTTGTTGTTCTCAAAATTCTCTATTCATAACATACAATTTTCATTTTTCAATTATTGTGGCCTAATTTTATTTAAGTTTTTCATCTTCTTTTGGTGTTTCACACCGTTTTTGCTTTTTCCTTTACTTTCAATTTTCAACTTTCAACTTTTTGCTTTTTCCTAATATTTTATTATTATTTTTGAAACGTACAACAACAAATCAAACAAAACGAAAAATTGGGCGCATGCAATTTTTTTGTTTTTTCTGCTTGGAATGAAAAATGAAAAGTTAAATTTGAATTGAGGAAACAACTACAACATTAATTTGCAACTTTGAACAAGAACAACACCAAAAACAACGACAACAACAACAACAGCAACGACAACACACAGATACAGTTTTATTTATGCTTATGGACTTATGTACATACAACACCAAAAAACTATTTATTATTCTTTATTTGCTTGTTATTTAATAGTTTGCATATATTGTTTGTTCTACTATTTGAATTGTGGGCCAATTTGTTATGCACTCACACACATACACATATATAAACATACACATATATATAGAAAATTGTGTTGCCAATTCGATTAAAGTTCATAGACATTTAGACGTGACTATTATGCAATAAAGGAAACAAAAACAAATCAAAAAGAAACACACGTACTTATATATTGTATTCACCTATTTTTGTTTTTTTTTTTTAAGGATAAGGGCGGGGCAGAGGGCTTTGTTGGAGCGTTGCTTGGCGTTAGTTGGAGAAATATTTCTTTGGTTTTTCCATTTCTCTACACACAAACAACAATTAGCGGGCGGTAATTGGGAAGTAGGCGGGGCAATTTTCAAATTCGTCTACTCGCGTAGCGCTTGTAAAGTATTTTCTTTTCTTTTGTTTTACTTCTTTTTTAGCATAGGAAATTACAACATCTAAGGTGGTTCTGCCGTCCAGTGAAATGTTCTTTCAACTTTCGTTTTATACTTTTTCAATATTTTCTTGAAATTTTTTGTTCATTTTTTTTTTTGGTTTTTGATTTTTTCTCATTACATGTATGCATATACAGTAGGGAGCAAAAGTGTTTCCATAGTTGACACTTTCAACTTTGTGAGTCGATAATTTCTAAACGAATGAAGCAAATCAAAAAAACTTTTTTTTCCAATAATATGTATTTAATTCTTAACAAATTGCCGTATATAACAAAAACAAAAGTTAATCAGTAAAATATTCAAACGAGGAAAACTGAAACAAAACGCATGTGTACAATTTTGCACCTTCCGATATTCTTACTTTGGTTTGATTTCTTAATTCTCTTATCGGCAATAGACATGCAGTTTTACCTTTATATGTTTTATTTATGCATTCTACACTTTTATGATCCAGAAATCCACGTGTTTCTTATTATTTGAAGTAGATTTGTTAATTTTAGCAATTAGTCTACAAAGTACCGCGAAAAAATGAAGAAGCGTTCGTCAGATGTTGAAAATAGTATTATTAGCCTAACTGAAAGTGGCTGTTCGACTCGTAGTACTTCAGATCAGCTTAATATTTTTCATTCAGCGGTGTCCGAAGTCCAGAAAAGACGCAATGGTACATCCAAAAACACTATTAAAGGCCGCAAACGACTCTTAAAGGACTCTGACGCCAGACTAATGGGAACTGATAAGTTCCTAACACCGAAGAAAGCATCTATGGACATAGGGAAAGACGTGAGTCGGCGGGTGGCTAGAAGAGCACTAGCTAAGGTTGGATATGTGGCAAGTATGAAACAAAATAAACCAGCTCTATCCGAGAAGAATGTCAAGGGTCGATTGAAATTCGCCCGGGAACACAAGAACTGGACTGTACATGATTGGAAACGTTTTATCTGGTCGGATGAATCCAAGTTCAACCGTTTTCAATCAAATGGCACGCAATACTATTGGCACAGGTCCGGGGAAAAGCTTCAAAAACACCATGTGAAGCAAACCGTTTAGCATGGAGGAGGCAATGTCAAAGTTTGGGGATGCTTTACTTGGTTACCATTGCATAAAATTGATGGTATAATGTTAAAAGAAGACCATCTCAATATTTTGAAAACCTGTCTACCCAATTTTTTGGACAAGTGTGCATACCCCGTAAAGGAAATCATTTTTCATCAAGATGGGGATCCGACGCACACTGCCAAAACTGTCCGCGAATGGTTACAAAACCAAGATTTTATGTTGATGGAGTGGCCAGCTAAAAGTCCCGAACTCAATCCGATTGAGAACCTGTGGTCAATCGTGAAGCGACGGCTCGGGCAATATCAATCAATGCCATCCAACCTAGACGATCTTTGGAAGCGTGTAGAACTGAAGTGGAACCGAGTTCCAAAGGAAACCATAGAAAAGTTGGTCGAGAGTATGCCAAACTGAATAAAAAATGTAATAGCTAATAAGGGCTTGTGGACAAAATATTGATTTATAATCATATTAAATTTTTTTCACTGAAGGTGCAAAATTGTACACATGCGTTTTGTTTCAGTTTTCTTTGTTTGAATATTTTACTAATTATTTTTTGTTTTTGTTATATACGGCAATTTGTTAAGAATTAAATACATATTATTGGAAAAAAAAGTTTTTTTGATTTGCTTCATTCGTTTAGAAATTATCGACTCACAAAGTTGAAAGTGTCAACTATGGAAACACTTTTGCTCCCTACTGTACATATTATAGTTGGTAAAGATTTTGGTTTTTGTTGTGGCTCTGTAAATTTTGGATTTCGTTACAAGGCAGCTTGGGTTTACCTACAAATCAAATTGAGTCCGGTTCAAAAGTTTTCTCTAATAAAGTTTTCCATTTTCTTTTCTTTTTTGTTTTTTTTTTTTTTTTTTTGATTGTCGCTAAAGACGCGCACAGCTCGAGGCTAGTGCTGCTCAAACTGTGCGGTCGCCATTTTGGTATTTGGTGTTGTATAGGCTGTGTCTGTGTAACTGTGTGTGACTGTGTGCGCGCGTGTCTGTGTGCGTGCGTGTGTTAGCTTGGAAAGTGTGAAAAAACCTAAGAAGAAGAAAGAAAACATGTCGACATCGAATATTTATTGTTTACTTAAACAAATGCATAAAAACTAAAACAAGAAACGTAAATTTAGTGACTAAGAAAACGTAGAAAATAAATATTTGTTGCACATACAAAAAATTGACTAAAATGTTTGCCGAGGCCGAGGCGGAGACTTGTGCTTGCCTCGACTCTAAGTTCTAGAATGCGCGAGATTCGTTTCACAAATTTGTGCGAGAATTAAAATCAATATATATATAGATATATATATATATATAAGTATACATATATATTTATATAAATTATTGTAAAAGTAAATTTGATATATAAAAAGTAATACACACAACCACATTAAATAGTAGAAATGGAGCACATGGCGAGAGTGATCCTCTCTCTTTCTCTTTCTCTGCCTCAAGTGAGTTTTCCTCTTTTTTGTTGCTTTTTGCTTTTCACTTTTAGTTAAATAAATTATATATAGTTCATATGCTTAATGTTTTAGACACTCAGAGTTTCAGCGTAGTTCGAATAGGAAGAAACCGTACGATTTCGGTCTAGAGATAGAATTATAGAGAATTATTGTAAGTGTCTATATATGTATATATATATAGAGATATAGGTAAACATATAAGTCATTCACATACATAATAAATACACCGACTATTACAGTTATACTACATACACATACATATCTGTGGTATATATAGAAATACATGCCAGGAGAGTTCTACAGCTAGTTTGTTCAGTTAGAAAACGAGTTTCCTTTCAGTTACAGTTAACAGTTACAGTTACAGTTTAGAGTTTACAGTTTACAGTTTACAGTAGTTATTCTTTAGATCTATAAAACTAAGCGCTACGAAGACTTCATTTTGTTTTCCTTTAACACAACTGCCGCGAATACTGAAAACTGAAGAACAACTTTTCGATCGTTTTATTTGTATTATGTTTTTGAAGATCGCCGTCGTGCAGCTTACGTCTTCATCTCCGCCGTAATGCTGTTGTGCGACTTGGCTGGCGATATGGCCAGGCCAGCAGCAGCACTGCCCACAGCTCCTCTGCCATCCAAGTTCAAGGTGAGATTATTGCCAGAGCTCGGAGCTGAGAGGCTGCTAACAGCTGCCGATGCCGACGATCCGCCTGACGTGCAGCCATGATGATGCGGTCCATGGAAGAGCACCAGGAAGCCATTGTTCGAGACACAGCTGCGAGATTCAGCGTCCTTGTCGAGTATTTGACGTGCCTGCCGGAACAGTGGAAGAAGTTAGAGCAGAGAAATTTATCAGGAATAAATTAACTCTTTTTAGCTTGTTTCTTATCTTTATAAAGGAACAAGTTAGAAGAAGATAAGTTGCTAAGATACATGAGATAATAAATAAACGTTTTGAAAAAGATTTGCTGTAGTTAGTACAGCGTCTCACATCGGTGTATAGCTTGCTTGGTTCAGGAAAACTTTATCTAGCCAAAATGTCTATGTTAAGTCGCTTCATAGGACATCTGCATTGCCTGCAAGTATTGTGTAGTTTCACCTGGTTACAATCTAGTTTTACCTCACAGGGATAAACTCTAAACAGACGAAAGGCTTATTCTATATAGTTCAATACTCCATAGTGCAATGTGTCTCTCCTCGATCATAGCTTTATTATATGCTGCTGACAGAGAGTGGATAGCATTCAGTCTCGCCTACCTTCAAGCGATGCTCGGCTAGAGCATTGCGCACAGCATCGTGCTGCTTCTGCAGCTCATCTGTGCGCTTGTCGAATGTTTGCTTGAGACGCACGCGCTCCGCCACACCGCGTTCCACCACAGAGCTGGCCACCTCACGTTTCATTCTGTGCAAATATAGAAGTTGTTTATAAAGATAAGGAATTAATATATTTCATTCACACTTCTGCTGCTTACCTGACCAGTTCGTCGCGATCTCTGTGCACCGTAGCCAGATTCTTGACCTCATTGCGTCGCGCCTCCTGCAGCTGATGCATCACCTCGCCGGTGACCTTGTCGAGCGACGCCTTCAGCTGTTTGGTTTGACTGGCTTGCGAGTTCTTTAGCACCTTCTCAGCGGCCGAGTAGATGGCCTCATGGTACTTCTCCTGCAGCTCTCGATACTGTGTGGTGTACTCGCGGCAGGCGTAGCGCAGGCGCGACTCCTGTGTGCCTTCCAGGCTGCTGGAGGCGGCCTCGTCGCCCAGCTCACCGGCGCCGGCGCTCTCCTCGCTGCTGTCGCCCAGATCGAGCGGGCAGGGCGGCACCTCAACGCCCGGCTCACTGTACGGAGAAAGACAATTACTAATTTCAATGGCGTCATCTGGCAGTGGCTACAACCCCAAAGCTTTAGTCGCCCGCCGGACACTTACAGGCTCTTGTTGCTGAGACGCTTCACCAGCTTGTTGGTTATGGTAAACTTGGGCTTCTTGCCCCCGTCGAGCGGGCTCAGCTTCTGGCCAGCGATCTTCAGCTTCTCCTTGTCGTGCTTCTTGCGCAGCGACTCCAGCTTCTTCTCCATCTCCAGCCGCTTCTCGCGCACCGACTTGTGCTCGAGTATTTTCTCTAGCGGCTCGGCTATCACCAGATCCACATCAAACTGTGAGGACTCTACCTGCCTGATGGATGTGCTCACCGACTGGTCCAACGAGTGCTGATGCTGTATGCCCGACGTCACAATCGAGACGCTGTCATCGTTGCGTCCTCCATCGGGCCGATCCGTCGGCTGCTCCATGCTGCTGGCGGTTATTATGGAAATGCTTGCCCGATGCTTGGGCGAGGTGGCTAGCGACTCGACCGGACGCAGCTCCTTCTTTTGGCCACCTACTTGGACGAAAACGACTGAAGGATCAGAGACAATCGAGCAGAGAAAAGAAAGCGAGAGCGAGCGAGAGAGAGAGAGAGAGAGAGAGAGAGATCGAGCGAGTAAAGGAGGAGTTCGGATGGGGTTGGGGGGTTGCGGGTTGTTTTTTTTTTTTTTTTGGTGCAGTTTGTGTGTCCGTCAACCGTTTTGTGTGGTGGTGGTGGTGGTGTTTGTGGTGGTGTTTTATTTTTTTTTTTGGTGGGTGCGTGTGTGCGTATAACCAAATCCAAAATCCAAAAGTTTAACCGAAAGTTACATGACATACAAAAGAAAAGTAGAAAGAAAAGAAAGTAAATTAAAATTCAACTCGAATGCTACGAAAATCCTTGGAGCCCTGGGTCCTTTAGCCAACTAAACTTGCAGGTGGGCCGTGGCCCAACTACAACAAACTTACATGACTTGGACAAATCCTCATCGGCATTGGCCACTGCATCCGTCTCATCAGTCAGCACTGAGAGCTGTATGTCGCGCTTCTCTAGCTCGCTCTGGTATTTGATGGGATTTGCCAGAGCCTCGGCGAAATTGGATAGATCATCGGGCACGTAGTCCTTGACAACGACGCACAGGAATAGCGAGGCCAGCGCAATGGGCTGACCCACCTCGGAGCGCAGATTAACATGACGATAGCCCGGACAGAGCCCAATCACGGGCAACACTCGGTGGCCAATTAGCTTGCCGCCCTCCTCGTAAGCAGCCAGGCGTATGCTGGCCAGCTCCGGCAGCACCACCTTCTTGAACACGAACGGATCCTCGTCGTAGAAGGGATTCATGCCATTGTCGCGCACCGTCTTGGTGCGGAACTTCTTGCGCACCGTGTCCGCCGGCAGACCGTACATGTCCACCTCGACAAAGGTGTTGACGCGCTTGTCCGTCAGAAACTGTCCCGAGAGCACAGTGATGGAAACGGTGCCAGCAATAATGCCATCGACTGTGCTCTCAGCGAAGGGATCGAGCCGGCGGTCGGAACGCCGCATGAACTCCGGCTTTAGCAAATAGCCGGAGCGTGCGTTGTACTCGAAGATGCCCAGATTCAGCTGCATGGCCAGGTCCAGCGTCTGAAAGTTCAGCGCCACCAGCTGGCAGCCAGCGTTCCAGAATAGCTGCGGCATAAAGTTGGAGCTATCGAAGCGTGTGCCCGCCGGATAGACGCGGGACAACTGGTGCTTGTTGTAGTTGACAAACTCAATGGGCCGCTCCTTAAGCAATGTTGTCGCCTGCTTCTCATCGAACGAGGACATCTCATAGCAGCGATTCTTCTCTGTGTAAGCAAGTCAAAAGATATTTTAGCAGAGTGAAGCCGTATTGCGGATTGATGGCACCTACTCTCTGCATTCTCAAAGGAGCTGAAGTGTATGGGCTGCACGTAGTTGACCAGCGCTGAGATCTCGGCGCCTGCCTCCGTCTCCTTTTGTGCCTTATCCGGCGGCGGCTCATTGCCGCTGGGCAGACTGGGCGTTGTATTGGGCAGGGATTCATCGTCGCTAGAGCTGTCCGAGTCCGAGGAGCCGGTGCTATCCTTCGAGCTCTGGCGTATTTGCTAACGAGTAGAATAGATTTTGTTATAAAAAATAAATTTGATTGAATTGAGAATATATAAATGTAAATTTTAATGGTACTTGGGCAAAGGCTGTGGAAGGTAAGGATTTTGTTGAATAAAGTAAACAAAGAAGTTCTACTCTAGGCAACTTGTAAGGTCAAGAGTGAGTTTTATACAAAGGCTTTTGTATGTTCCGCGTTTTACTACTAGAAATCATAGTTTTTTTGTACAGCTATGATAATTCTTGCAGCTCAAGCTAAAAGGGTATCTATGCAAATAATCATAGTCATTTAATAGGGCGTGTCCGACAAGGAAGGGTAGTCTCTCTCGAGCCAAAGCTAAGCTAGATAGGAGATATGCTAAATATAAAGTAGCTGATGTTACTTGATATATTTTATACAATTTTTATACCAAATCAAACTTTTGAAACATTCACAATATTCTAAAAACTGTAGCTAGATATCGACTGATTTAATGAACACAAAAAAGTTATCGATTACTTGAATCAAACTTGAGCTGCGCTTGCTACAGGCGAAGCTACGTTTTCAGTTTTAAATGTCGAGAGGGACTTGCTCATACATAAGGACAGCCAGAAGGACGACAGGGCTACATCGACTAGGCTGCTTATATTGATCAAAAATATATATATACTTTTGAAATTCATTATATATATTATACATAAAACAAATGATTCAAATATATTAATAAATATTTATAAAAATAGATTTCTGAATTTAAAAGTTCAGTGACAAATTAAATGTTTGGGCAGAGCAGCAGCAGAAGTGATGAAACTATGAATTGGAGTTGAAAAGTGTTTGATATGTGTATATATGTTATACATGTTTACATATGTGTATAAGTATTTATTTTGAACGATGATAAATTATTGGCTGACATTATGTGAAAAATTGCAATATTTATTATACACAGCCAAGAGCTGAGTTGAACTATGCGACCCAGCTGGGCAGTATGAAAGCTTTTAAAATGTTGCGTTGTTATCGCTGCAACAGATCCGACAGGCAGCGAGGCAGCGAGGCAGCCAAGCAGACAGATGAACCAATGAACCGATGGACCGCTGGAGTCGGTGGTAGTCAATGGGGTCGGTGTCGATAATGGAGGAGCAGCGCATAATGGCAAGAAAATGGCGCAGATTGTGTTTCCTGTCGACGGAGGAGCAGAGGCAGCAGCAGGAGCAGGCGGCGCACTAACAGTAGCTGCAGGACTTCGCATAATGCGAGTCCATGTCGATACTGTATGTTGCATTGAATAAAGCTCACAACGACAACTGAGGCACAACAGTATCTATGATGGCAGCCCCCTTCGTCGTTCATTGTTGTCCCCTCGCCGCTTGGCTATTCAGCTTGCTGCATTTTCCATTTTCCGTCTCGATTCGCATCGCATTCATGTTGAATTGAATCCATTTGGCTTTCAGTGCAACACAAACCATATTCGAGAGATACCACTTCTGCACTTTGCGCCATCGACTCCCTGTTGACCGCATCTCATGTGGCCTCAAATGCAATGCAACACTCACAGTGCTGCCAAAACTGTGCGCCGCAACGGAAGAGCTGCTGCCATTAGCTTGAACTGTGCAGCCCCAAACATGTCGGACGGGCGGTTGGTCGCTCGCATGGTCTGGCGGTTGCTCTGGCAAAATCATGAATAATGATGTGTGCCCCAATAAAGCAAACTGTGCAATTAAATTAATATGCATAATACTCATGAGGCTTACAGAGCCATTAAACTGAGCACTCTGCAAGGATATGACGACCATTACGCAGCCGCTGGCATATTGTCTTGGGTTTTATGGCAAAAAAAGAGCGGAAATGACAAACATAAATAGGAAAATGCATTCTGTTCTTGGAAATCAAAAGCTAGCATGAGCTGAACGAAATGAAACTGAGCTGAGAAAGGGAACAGCTCATTAATTAATCTAACAGCTCAAAGGTACGTTTTTAACTTTGAAGGATGAACACAAATTGAGTTATTATGTCATTTCTAGTTAAATTCTTCAGTTATATACAGGGCATTATATATAGAAGTCATTTGACCTAGTTTAATATGTTGCTTGTTGGAGCTGAAGCTTGAGTATATGAGATGTGCTCAATTAGCATCGTTTTATGCCTCGAATCAAATGGCAAATCATATTAAATATTTCAACAGCTAAATGTTATCGATAACTGCAATAGTTGCTGGGTCTATGGATAGATATATATATATAGACAGATAGATAGAGAGACAGAAAGATAGACAGTTACATAGAGAGATAGATAAATAAGTAATATCGATTGATTCACTGCATTATTGTACAGCTTAAAAGCTATAGTTATAGCTTAATAGACATAGCTATACCACACTCTAGATATCTTGAAAAACGAAATTCAGCTTGATTAGCTCAGCTGACTACAAAGCAAAAGCAGTCGAAAAGAAAATTTAATTTCCTTTTGCAATTGCAATGCCTTGCATAACGTCTAGAAGAGTATAAAGCACATCCAGCCCAATTATTCTGCACACTCTTAAAAAACAGCAGCTTAAAGCTAATTAACATGCGCTGCACATAAATATTTAAATGCTTCAGCTAAAGAGTAAAGCTTAATATATTGCTGCATTCGTTTGGAAGCAGTTTTTATGCTTGTGTCGCAGCTTTAGCTGGATCAGGAAGTTGTGAGAGGGAAAAACTCTTTTTCTCGTTTATACGGTTCGTTGACTGCTGCTGGTCATCAAGCAGCTCTTCAAATTCATTTATACAGCTTTTCCACATGTCTCAGTGAGTGAGTGGCAGGCGGGAACGTGTGACGGGGGGACAGGGGCTTGAGATTGTTGTCATTACGACGTATGTAAACTCAAAGCGTAAACACAGCAAACGATGACAATCAACATCAAGAACAACAACTGAATGCCCGCCCAGCTAAGCAAAGGGAAAGCGGCAGGACATGGGTTGGGGCAGACAAACAGTGCGACAAATCAACCGAGTCCTGCGGAGTCGAGAGGCAGCAGGCATCGCAAATAGAGGAACGTGTGTGCGTGTGCTGCTATTAAATGCAATTACAGGCATGCCATTTCCACACCCACACCCACACCCACACCCACACAGACACACACACATACACACGTAGTTAGATCTAAACTTACTTGCAATGGCGGCGCATGTCCTCCGCCAGCGCCGCTGACAATGTCACCATTTGCGGCGCCTGTCAATGTCCGTCCTGCTCCAGCGCCAGCCTCGTCCTGCGCCGCGGCAGCCACTTGTTGTGCATTGGCAGCTGCTGCTGCCGCCTTGGCAGCCGCATCAACTGCAACAAAAAATCATTGAATAAATAGTAGATATATTATGCCATAATAACGAATAACAATTGGAATGCGAAAGAGTTGAATGGGTTTGACTATAAGACACCCTGTAGCTAGATAACAATTCGTATATAACTCTGAGCATTGTATCTTGTGCAAGTATTATAGAGCCGTCTCAAGAGATTCAATATCAAATATGCCCGAAAACTATTTTTTATTATTGATTTTTTTATTAAAAAGATTGAAATTAAGATTGAATATTAAATTCTTGTTTTAATAGCAAAATTAAAAAAATATATATATAAAAAAAGAGCCGAAGTCTATTTCAATTGTCATAAATTGTTAATAAATATAAAACTCTTAAGCGTTAAAATCTTTAATACCAATTTAATTCTGAGCGCATGTAATGGGATTTATTCTTAATTTCACTCTTTTCATTCTATTTCAAGCACAAAGCGGGAATCTTTTAATTTTCCATCGGAAAAGGCATATTTTCATTTGGCACTACTATTTTTATGAACAACACTGTATATAATCTATATAAAAAAATAATTATGACTATGTATATATATATATATACATTTGCAATAGCTTATCATGCCCTTAGTCCCAAATATTTTTGATCACAGGGTAACTGTAGATTTGTCTTTTTTTGTTACAGTTTTACTAAGAAGCTTTTAAAAAATGTTCGTTCCCTTAGTGCAAAATGCGTATAATGAAATAAATTAATTGCATAAAGCTAAAAATTGCGGCCAAGAGAGGCGTTGGCTGTGCCAATTGCACGATTGCGTTGGGATTAGGTTGGGTCAGGGGTTGGCATCTGCGCTACGAATACTCCCCCCATGACTGCCAGACATTAAAGGAGGAGAGCAAAGTCAGAGTGCCAGGCCAGCTGGGAATGCGACTGCAGGCAGTGGCAAAAGTCATTTGCATTTATAAATTGGCTTTTCGCAATTCATGAGCAAAATGTCAACTGGCTGTTGCCGCAAAATGGCATAGAGTGTCAGCCATGGCTAAATTGTGCACTTGTGCATGCAAATGGACGCCAGCACGAGTTGCAGCAGCAGACGCGTCTGTGCCCCATTAGCCGCGACACGAAGCGCACAACTAAATACATTTATATGCAAAATACCAATAAAACTTTACAAAGACGAAAAATGCCAGACGCCCGCAAGAGACGAGTCTTCAAACAGTTTCACAACATATGGCTGCGAGTCAGCAATATTGATTTGATCGATATAATCAGTTCTCAGAGCTCTCAGCAAGCGGCCATTATGCAAAACTAAAACTTTTTTACATTTTAAATGTTTGTTGATAGCTCGACTTTTGTAATGGCATGTGGAAAGGGCTTGAATTGCATTTTTAAATGGTTGATTGAAACGATATCATAATTCTAGTAATTTTTTACTGATTAATATGTCTGAAAAAAAAAACATTTGGACAGCAAATGACATGAATGGCCTAAGCAACTGTTCCATGTAAAACTAAGTCTTGGATACATATTTATTTTCTTTATTTCTTATCAATATTCATATTGAATTATAGTTTACTGAATTATGATTTGGTTCGTCACATTGTCTAGCTTTAATTTGATTTATTATGATTTACTTCGTAACAACTTTCAAGTTTTCATTTTAGCTCAAACAAGAAATATAAAGAAATTTAAATAAATTTTTATCTAAATATCGAAATGTTTTAAAAATTGTTTTTACAAAATTAAAAATAAACTACAATCTATAGCAAAAAAAAAAAACAATTGTGAAATGGTAAACTGTATTCTGTCAAAAACAAAATTTTAACTTAAAAAACCAATTTTTAATTTATTTATAAAAAACTCGCTAATTGAAGCATCATCTGCTAAATCAATATCTCGTTTATCAACGAGGCATCGTTGTTTTTTAAGACTTAAATCATATTTTGAAGCAGCAATATTCCAAATGAGTTAAAAACTCAATATCCGAGTTAAGCCATGCACTTAGTTTGCACAGAAAGTTGAAGTAGAGCAAGAACAAACAACAACAGCTGCGTGTTTGGAGCTCATTTACATTCGCCAAGAGTTATGCTGGGCAAACAAGCAGCTCAGTGCTGTAGCGTATAGAGCAGCAAAACAAACAGCGGGGATAATAAAACTAATAGCAACAGCAGCAGCTCCACTGACGAACACAATAGAAAAACGCACAACACATTACGCATACGCCATGTGGCCGCGCATTGGACTGGAGGCTCACCTGAGTTGGCCGTCGTTAGTTTATTGCTGGCAGCTGGTGTGCCCTGTGCCAATGCCGACGACGGCTTCTTATGATGATGATGATGATGGTGATGGTGCTTCTTCTTGTTCTTGATTATGATCTTGCGCCGCAGCATCGACGGCGGCGGCAAATCCACATTGGGCTCCAGCGGATACGAGTCGAGCGGCTTGTCCAACAGCATATCGCCGAAGATCTCACGGCAATAGTTCGCAATCTTTGCCTGAAAATGTTGCAACAGCAATTCGTTAGTTTGGCTAACTGGCTGCTAACTGAAATTTGATGAACATGCCCCGCCAGGCAGCTAAGAATGTAAGCAGCTGGCCAACTTTCATGTGAGCGTGTAAGCACGTGTGCCCCTCACCTGCCTGCGTTAGTTACCTATTCCCCATGGTAAATTTAGTTTATATAACTACTTTTAATGGTAAAACTTTAACCAGATGCCTGTGCCGCCACCTGTGCCCGTGCTCAGGTGCAACTGTTCAGCTCCCCACTCGGCCCTAAAAAAGTTTGCCTTTGTTATTATCTCGTGGAGCTAAACCATCAGGCAATTACCTTTCGAGTAGCTTCTGAGATTTACTCAACCACACGGCAGCTGAGCTGCGCCATGTTTGAGTGGGGCTCACTCCGCTTGGCAGTGGGGGCACTTTGGAATCCCTTTGGATGGATGGGGCATACACACGTGAAATGTGTATGTTTTTTTGTTTGGCTTCTGACGAGTTGTTTGACTAATGTGAGAGCAGCAGAGAGAGAGAGAGAGAGCGGAGGTTGGGTAGAGAGGAGTGCTGGAGCAGTTAGAGATTGGAGCGCGTTTTGATGTTTGCTAAATACACGAAGTCAGAAATTTATGTCGGGTTAAGCGTGATTATCGTGTTGCCGCGACTTAAGTCGCTTAGGCATGTTAAGCCGCGTTAAGCTGCAGGAGAAGGTCTGTTTAGTTATTCCAAGTTGTGTTAGGCTATGCCAAGGATCAACAAAGGAATACGAGTCTTAAGTTATGTTCAGTTCTAATAGATTATTTAGGTGTGTTAAGATAATCGCAGCTAGTAAAGTTAAGATGACTTGCTTACTTTCAAGTCAGCTGGAATTCTTGTCTCATATATGAGTCATGCCTATTATCGCGCCTACTTCTATTTGCAGTTCTTCTATTGTGGGTACAACCCCACCCATTCATATTTTATGCTCTTCATGTCAGGTAAATCAAACAACTTTATGCTTAGTCGTGCTCTTCGTGTCGCTCTACCTTGCACATATCTAATGCGACCCACATTCTATTATTCAACACAGAACACGCTCTTGACTTCAAGTGTGGGCTTCGAAGGTGGCTTTTCGTTACAGTTAGTTTAGGACACGTTACTTTTTGACAGGCGGCACACCACACAGCTGTCGAAATGCGGGCGCACATACATTGCTCAAACTAATTTTGTAGCCATTTTAGGGTTGACTCACCTGTTGCCTGGGATTGCAGTGATTCTCGAAGCTCAATATCACAGGGTATTCGGATGTTTTAAATGCGCTCTCCGCGATGGCCTCCAGCACGTCCTTGGCATAGATTTCGGGCACAAACGTATAGCCATGCACAATGACCGGCTCCTCGGTGCGTCCATTCCAAAAGTCCAGCTCAACGCATCTGGCCAGCAACAACAAAAAAAAAAAAAAGAGAAAAGAAGGGAGTGAAGACGCGTAATCTATCGACAAACAAGTGCTGCCATAAAATTAACTGACGCAAGTCAAAAAAATGGCGGCTCATAAAAAGTGTTTATCAGATAATGCGGTTAAAGCAGCACGAGCGATGGCAACAATCAGATTCATTTGCCATGTCCTTGCAATAACTTTTGCGTCAATAAATTTTGTGATGTGTGCATCATCAACTACAGCCAGCGAGCGACGTCGACTGCGACTGCGACTGCGACTGCGACTGCGACTGCGACTGATGCAGCGCAAGAGCCATACGCCATGTGGATGATGGCGGCAGTAAAAATGGCGACCATGCAATTTTCGTGCTACTAAAAAGCAGCGCAGCGGCAAAGCTGACACACACACACTCACACACCTGACATACTGAGCATATAGTCTGTGTGTGTATGTGCGTGAAGGCCAACAAACACACACATACATATGACAGCGCAACACTGCAACAAGGTCACGGCCAGCATCCAAAATGTGGGCAACTGACCACGCACTCACACGCACACACACACACACACACACACACACGCACACGTGTCCATTTAATTGTGTAATTAAAAAGCACAGACCTGCTTTCATGATATGACCACAACCACATGCCACACCACAGCACTCACCTGCAGCCAGCGAGCAGGCATTGCCTGTATATCTCCACAGATGACTTGCCCGTCAGCTGATGACCCGTTAGGTAGGTATTGTGCGAGGAGTTGATGAAATAATGCGACATGGGCTGATCCATATCATCGCAGAGATCAAGCTTGTTGGGCGCCATTATGGGATTATCATCGCCCATAAGATACCTGAGAGAAAGAGAGAGATGGAGTTAGTTGAGCTTTAAGCGTATGGAAAGCTTAAAGCTGTTAGGTTAAACTAGCTTTAAAGGACTTTATTAAAGTCAGTTCATGACTTCTAGCTATTGATTAAAAACTGAACTTTAATTTGATATTTAAAGTGCTTAAAAACACAGCTTCAGCTGACGGCTTTTTAGGACTGCTTACTTAGCTATACAGCTAACTTATTCGTCTATAACTCTTAACTATTTTCATGTTTCACTGACTTAAGCTTTGATATGTCTTGCGAATACAATAGAAATTTAAGCTTGTTCCTGAGCAAGGCTTAAGTAAAGGTCTTAGAGCTTGCACATCCAGCAATTGTGAGCTCTTGCTGTTAAGCTGAATTTATTTATTTTCTATGTATTCAAAATTGTTACTTGTTTTTCAATAGTTGCAGAAATGACATTCAGAATCGTACTGTCATAAACATGTATCAATAAATCCTTTTCTTCCCTACCTTTACCTATTAAACTTCTTAATTTCCGCTGGAAGCTTTCAGTTGCTTTTGTCAGTGTGTTCCGAGCAAACCTATTAATCGGATAGCTCAACACAGCATATTTTCCGCTATTGTTGAAAGTATTTCTCTTTTCTGTAATATTGTTTTGCATATGTTGCGCGTGATATGTGAAGGACACAATGGCGCGCGTCCTTCGCGCCAGAGCAACAGTGAAGTGCTGCTGCTGTTGCTGATGATGATGATGATGATGTCGTCTTAGCCCTCGCGTCATATGCAAGCGGCGCCCTCTTGTGGGCTATGGAGTGCTGGCTATGGAGTGCCGTCAAGTGACTATAACAGGCGTTTGGCGAGAACGATAAGCTGTCAGGCCCAGGCGCGCAGCGCCTAAGGACGTGCGAGCAAGTGTGGAGGGCTCATTTAGCTGAGGGAGACTTTGGGTTCTTACCTTAAAAAGCCATCCAAACTAAGTTGGCCCTTTTGTGCGTTGAACTTGTTGGGCTCGTATTGCTGTATGAGCTCCTTGGCGCGCGCAGGATTCGCATACGGGTAGAGAATCTCATTGAGGCGCGGATCGCGTTGCGTTTTGTTGAGGAACTCGACCAGCTGCGCTATGGACATGCATTTACGCTTCGCATTTCCCACGCTGCAGCAGAATGAATCATGAATCAGTTGATGGAAAAGAAATGCCAATTCCATTGATTGGCCAACTGTACTTACATGCTATCGAATAGGCGCTCCACTTCGGAGCGCTGCGTCAGATATTTGTACAAATTATAAAAGTCCTCAAATTGAAATTTCGACACCGATATGCTATCGACCTTGCCCGATGGCAAGCCGGTCACGTCCAGCGCCTTCTCGACACGTTTCCGATCCTCTTTATTTTGCGCAAAAAGTTTAATGATGCTAAAGTGGTCACGACCAGGACGACAACACGGCACACAGACGTCCCAAAGGCGGAGTTGAAGGGGGATTTTATTATGTGGGTTCGTTGTCCAGACAGACAATGTGGTTCGTGTTGATGATGTAGTCGGCGTCAGTGATGCATGAGCCACGTTCCAGCCACATTGAGTTGTTGCGTCGATAGAGATAGATGGAGCGAGTGATGGAGCGGGTGCAGGAGGGAAATACGAAAAGAAATTGGCGTAAATTTCAATTTTCTAGGCAACACTTAACAAATATTGTCAAATGCTTCAACACACAATGCACAAAAGCCAAAAAACCAAAGCCACAAGCCCCACCTCAGGGTCACGGTCTTGGTGCTTGCTGCTTGGGCTTTTCGGACTATGCTACAGTGGCAATTACTTTTTGACTGGGATGCGTCCGCTTTTGTCCACCTGCAGGCAGAGCTTTGTATGCGCCTTCTGCAGGAACATAATCGCCGAGCCGTTCAGCTGAGCCAGACTATAGGCCAATTTGATGAGGCCATCCGACCAGATCTACAAGAACACAAAGCAAACAAAAGAGGATAAGGTCAGCATGGAGGTGACACTGTATACAATATATAATAGCATAGACTGTGGCCAGTGTAAGCCGAGCTGAACATATCAATTGAAGTTACAAAAACTCAAAAATAAGTTCAAGAGTTAACGGGACGGCGGAGGTTAAGAGTAAAGATTGATTGTCAAGAAAAGGTTTTTGATTTACGACTACAGTTCTATTTACTTGAAGCTAAAGGTGAATGGAAAATATTGAGCTGAATTGAGAATAGAAGAAAGTTATAGAAGAGTGTGTGAGTTGGGTGAAGGAGGTGAATAGCTAAAGGAGATGAATGGGTGAAGCAGGTGAATGGAAGGAGGGGATGAATGGGAGGAGATGAATGTGAATGGGTGAATGGATGAAGGTGCAAATGTGAGAAGGGGGCAAATGAGAGGAGGTTATCAACTGGCATATCAGATGCCAACCAAACTTGTCATTGTTACGGCAGCTGCAAATTAAATTCAAGTTTTGAAAGTCGTCCAACACAATAGCTTCTCTTAGCTAACTGTTTGTAAATTGAATTTTTCACTCTGCAGTTTAACTATATTTGAGACTCGATTTCTCCTCTAGTCGCATATACCCTAAATATATTTTCCATGTGCATACTCAGACGCACTTTAATATAGCATAAGGCATTTCATTTTGATTTTCATATTGTCTTCTAGTACCGAGAGCCATGAATTGTGTGTGTTTAAAATTCAACTTGAAGTGAGCTTACTGAAACTGATTGCGTATTCCAATAAGAGGGTTTCACCATGAACACGGAACTAATTGAATTTGCCAAGCGCAAAATATCAGCTTACACACACGTCCAGAGCAAGGCGCAGTGTGGGAGTGGGCGTATGGCATGAGATATAGATTTCAGTCATGCTAAATGATTTTTATTGAATTTCGCACAGATCGAAATACTATATATGCTATGTTGTTGAATGATTCCAAATGCATTTGCACTTGCTGGCAGACAAGTCTACAAAGCACATTCATGTGCACTGCATTTGTTTGATATTTTCCAAGATATTATACCAAATACCCGCTGTGGGCCCCTCGCTCTGGTTTTTGTTCAGTTTTGTGTGTGTGCCAAAGCTGCATGTTTATTTATTTTGTGCGGATTATATTTGTGTGCCCCGAAATGCCGTTAAAGTTTATGAAATTTTGGCATTCGATTTTGTTTATAGAAACGCTGGCGACGCGTGCCAAAAATAATAACAATAACATGAATGCACGCACATGCCAGGCTGCCCAGCTTCGACGGTCGTGTCCGTGTCCGGCTCTGGCTGTGCCCCGGATAGACGAGCCCGTGATAAAATATAGAACATTGATTTTGACCAAAAACCAACAGAACGCTGTCAGCTCCAGCAAGAGCAAGGTCACCTCTGTGCGAGCCACGAGGGACAGAGGGGCGTAGTATGTGGGCAGCATACGAGCGCTACGATTTGGATTGTGTCCAGTCAGACATAGAAAAGGCGTGGCCCACCAGCCCTTATGCTAAATCAATAAAATGTGTTCGACAGTCACTTATATTTTTACGCGCATTCGGCAAACGGTTAAAAATAGCCCCACAACACACTGACGGCAGGTGTGTCCCAGCGTATCCTAATGACTCCTACAATGGGTGTGTGTGCGTGTGTGTGTGGGGGTGTGTGCCTGTGTGTTTGTGTGTCTAGATAGACTGAGGTGCCTGAACTGTAAGAGTCTGTTCCCAATTCCGTTTACTGTACACCATTTTGCAGGCAGACTTATAGATAGAAAGGGCAAATAAGCTAGGTAGGCTAGATGGGACTGATGAACATTCTATCTATCAGACTATCTATATATCTATTAGAGCAGTTGAATAAATAGCCTATCTATCTAAAAGTCTATCTCATATAGATATAGAAACGCAGTTAGACAGGAGAAGCTGAAATACACAGACTGACTAACTTGTCTTAGACTCAAAATATAAGCCATGATATACTTAAATAATATATAAATATTGTTTATAATTTAAAAATTTATAATATATATATATTTTTGGTTTCACGACTTCAATAATCGATTCTATGAAAATCAGTCTTTAAATTGATTTTTCTTTGTAAGAATTAAATGAAAAATTAAATGATGTAATATGAAATTTTCATTGTAGAAATTTCATTTCAGAAAATATTAAAAATTTGCAACGAAACGTGAAACTGTTTAAAATTTAAAAAGCCAAAACTCATTCAGTAAATAAAGTATATAAAGCTGCATTAATTAGTTAAATATATATTTTTTGCAATACATAGGAATTTGAAATTGTCTCGAATTACGAACGAAATTGGAATTTGGAATATGCCTGCTTATTCAGTTTCGCGCGCGCGACCCATTTCACAATTCCCAAATGAGTTTCGAGGTGTGTGTGTGTGTGTATGTGTGTGTGACCTAGTTTTACGGTTCCAAATAGCTTTTGATGGGCCCTCAACGTTCTCATTTCAATTGTCGTCAAGTTGTCAATTGGCCATAATGAGCAGCTGTTGGCATTGGAGCTTTGCCAGGAGTGACACCAGCCCCTACGGCAGCTGCCCTTTGTCACCCAGCGCCCAACCGCACCAGCCCTTTCTTTTGAGCTTACCTGGGCAATGTCCCGTCGTGTGCAGCAGAAGTTGACAAATGTCATGTTGACAAAATCGGAGCCATGGCAAATGGTGACGGTCTTCTCTTCGAGTGTGTCCTGTGGTCCCATCGTCACAATCTGGCGCAACTTGGCGTCCTGCAAAACCAAACGAAACAGAGTATTATTAATTACCAAGCATAAACCATGCCCGAAATGATGCTTTATGGGACGTAGCCGCTGCAACTAGTCGTAAATCGAAGCCATATTCCATGTCCTAATCCACTGAGTGCGCGTACAAAACTCATTTGGCTGCCTCGTAAATCCAATAACTGGGCAAACGAATAGCCAGACAACGAGACAGCGAGACAGCCAGATATGCAGGCAACTGACTACTCCAGGGCGCCATATTTCAATTAAATATCACAAAATGGATTTACGAGAGGTGCGGACTACAAGTGCCCAGCAATGCGCCACAATGGACACACCCAGCAAATCAACCCAGTTAACAAGAGCCACGGACTGAACGGAAAAGGCCAAGAAAGCAGAAGTCTGTCTGGGCCATGGTCGAATATCTAATGCACTTGTCAACATCAAATCTAACTCGAATCGAATTAGTTTTACATAAGAGAGTGCGACTTGGATCAATTTAGTTAGTTTAAGGAACTTTCGTTGTGAGACTAAAAAGTTTAAAATTTGTTTGTTTTACCTTTGTGCAGGCTTTTTGTTAAAAGGTCTTTTGATTCAATTCAATTTTCAGCTGTGATGCATAGCCTTTTATTAAATTAAAGACATATTGCATTAAGGTTTGAGGTGTATTTTAAGCCAAGGAGAATTTGTTTCTCAATTTGGACCAAGGCAGCTTAAGCCTAAGCAATTGTAAATAACTTAAATTTCTATACCTATTATATTTGTTATTGACCACGTTGAGGATCATATAATTCTCTTATTATACATATCACAAAATTATTTTAAGGAAATATTTTGAAGGCAAACAGTCATAATTAGCTATAGAAGTTGATAGCCTAATTTGAATAGCCTCTAAGTCTTATGAAATTGAATTTACTTACAGCGAAGTTAAAGCGTCTTGCTTACTATTGCGCTGCTAGCTTAGAGTCATAAAAGTCAGCTAATAAAGACTAGATAAATTGATATAAATTTGATAAGATTCCATTGTTCATGACAACATTAGAGTACCCTCTGCTAGGGTATATTTGCTTACTCAACTAGGTTAAATGTAAATCAGCCCGATAGCTAGATAATCACGCAACATGTTCTGCAAAACTCAAATATAAAGAGAGAGGGAGAGAGAGAGAGAGAGAGAGAGAGAGGGGAGATAGTGACAGGACAAGCGACTGCTTGGCGAGACATGGCGAACGGCATTAGTTTTGGCTTTGTTGTCAGTTTAGCAGTTGTCCCTGCTCCCTGTTACCCCTGCCCTAGCGCCGTCAACGGCCCTGTGCTGCCTGAGTGGCAGTTGCATCGACTGAGTGGCGGTTGCTATGGCAATGTCAGTGTTGGGTAGTGTCTTATCTTCTGCAAGCTATGGACTTCATTGTTGCCGTCCCGCTGGGCGTTTAATGACAAATCCAAAATCAGCTTCAGGATTATCAGCGTCCTTTAAAATGCATAGCACACCCACACAAAGACACACACACACACGTCAACTGCTGTGGCTGAGGGTTGGCAGCGGCAGCATGAATTTGGCATTAACTTTGGGGCAAGTCATGCCTTTATATTTACAGTAAACGAAGCTCTCTGAGTGTGTGTGTGTGTGTGTGTGTGTGTGTCTGCCTGTCTGTCAGCCCACCCGTAGCGTTGTCGACTCTAAGACATTTGACAAACTGCTGGATAACTATGGACAAATGCCACTGAAAATATGTGTGGTGTGCTGTGTGGGTGTTTGTATATGGGTCTCTGTGCCTGTTTGCTTACGATGAGTATTTAGATATACATGATCACGATACTGCGCCATGTACAGCAAATATTATCAATAGCACTCGGATATGGACTGCCTGGAAATGATTAATGTGCCAAGTTGTTCATGAAATAATATTCGCACTAAGACAACATTAAAATATAATAAATATCTGTGAGCCAACAGCTCTAACCACATGAAATTGTCAATTGAATAGCTCAGTAACTTATTGGTATTTGTTACACTTGTGCAAGTGCTTGGTTTATGCTTAGCTTCACAGATTGTTAGTCAAATTCATGGGAGCATTTCAACATTCCCGATCATCACAATCATCATAATTCTCAGTCGGAATAGCATAAGGAGGAAATCAAGAACGTTTCTCACCTGACAAGAGAACGCAATTCAAATTGAAAAGTTTACCAATTGTTAGTCAAATCAAAACATGTTTATCACCTGAACTGACAGGTTATTGGTTGAACTAGACCTTGACCCATGTTAAACCAACTAGCTATGGGATTGAGTCTGCCAACCAGCTAGTTAGATGGCAGCAATAACTTGACACTGTGTAACAGAGTTTGGCTGCCGTCAAAGCCGATTACAATCCGCTCGAGCGTAGCCCAATCAAATGCCAACGCAGAGCAGGTGAAAAACGGTTTAAAAGCTGACCTTTGCTGGCCAAGAACATGCTTAGCCCTGAAGCCTGCAGCTGTACATCACATGAGAGCTGGAGTGGCACCTTTTGACTTTAGCAGGACGCTGATTGACACATCATCATGAAGGCAACGATGAAGCGCTGCTCAACGGCCATCAAGGGGCAGACATGGGCAATGGCAATTAAAGCCTCATTCTCTTTAATCTTGGCTTGGTAAGCGCTCCCTTGGCACCAGGCCATAAAAAGTCATTGAAGGCTACCTTCAGCACTCACAGAAGCAACCACCCTCCCCCCTTGCACCCAGACACGTGTGCTTCGCGGAGCTTAACTGCGCCGTCATTAGAGCGCCATAATTTGCTTTTAACTAAAAACTAAATCGGGCAAATTTGTTTTCGTGAATAATGTAACAGACAGTGAGAGAGCGAGAGGTGCACACACAGGCACTTGTACACTTGGCGGAGTTGCGACTTTGCCAGGAAATTTCACGGGCTACGTAGGAAGCGTAAAGCGGAAATGACTACGGTGATTATCTTAATTGTTTCACACGCTGCTCTTAAAGTTCTCCTCAGCCAGGGTCTGTCCTAGCAGACTTCAGCTAATCCTTTGGCACAGGCTAGGTATTAAAATTTTAACAGCCTTCATTAGCTAACTAAACAAGAAATCGTTGCCTTAGTCGAAAAACTCTGAAACAGAACATATTTTGTACGCCGTTCAGAAATGCTTTGCTCGATTTTCAGTTAGTTTTTGACAGCTTTTAGTTAGTCATCTAGTAAAAATTTACCAAAATTAAATTAGTTTGATCCTATGTCCATCAGATAACGAAGCAGAAATATGCGTAACCAACAGAAGTCTCCCTTCAGAAGTAATGAGTCAAGGTCATTGAAAGCAAACAAACAAAGTATTAATATGAATCAAGTAGAAAATAATAAAAACAAAAAAGTATTAGACGAATTGAAGACACAGAGTAAGGCAACACGAAGCGAGATGATTAAATGTAAAGATCTAACTCCTTACGATGTGATGCGTATGAATAACTGCAAAACATTCCATTTTTTAAAGTCTGAGACCTACCCCAATATCAGACCGCCAGTATCACAGTGCAGTAATGCAGAGTCAGTAAATTGGTTATTGAGTTCTATTGAGGATTATGATTGCGGGCGATACTTTAATATGGAGAACGACGATGTCATGGATGTCTGGAAAAAGACCCTAGACAAACGGACACTGGGCTGCTACGGAGTGAGCTCAGCCAACACTCAGCGGGAGGCAATCGAGTTCGATAAAGCGCTATCGAAATCAATCAAAAAGGCAACTGCAGTTAAGCCAACGGCAGTGATGCCTGGCGCACCTCCGCCGGCAAATATTCCGTATTCTGAAGAAGTTTGTTCACCTTTTGTCCTCAATCGTCAGTTGCTGCAGGAAAAGCTTCAAGGCATGCCCACTATACAAAGAAAGATCAATGCAAGCGAAGCATTTCGCATGCTGTACTGCAGCTCTCCTACGGAAAGAAAATATCCGTTTGCTCACGACGAACCCAGAATTCCCCTGACAACTACCTTGGATATGGATAGGCCGGTCCCACAACAAAAGCATGGTATCCGGCGAAAGTACAAATACTGCGAACTGCAATGTGGTATTCCCCAGAATGAATGCACGGATTATGAGTGGATGAAATACAAACAAGATCCTAAGGCATATGACAAACATTTTAAGATAGGGACACAACAGATGAATAAGCCAGACCATGAACCGAGAGACTACGATGAGCTATACGAACAACTTGTATCCTGCTTTGAGAAGTACGATAAAGAGGACTTATTGTGTAAGATTTATAAAACTTGCTGTATGCCAGCGAAAGATACTATCAGTGAAACAATCGGCGGCGATCACACCCCATCTCGGGCACCTCAAGGTAGTAGGCAAAAAATAAATTTCCCTGCCAAAGATCTTAACCAAGAAGACAAACGAAAAACGGGACACACCACCTCTACTGACCATACTGACCAAACCGGACAAACCGGACAAACCGGAAACACCGGACACACCGGACACACCAGACGAACGAGCGATGAAAAGTCAAACAAAGACAAAAGTCCAATGCTAGATAATTCAGATAAGGAAACACTAGAAAGAGACGAATTTGAAAAGAGTCATCAAAATAAGGAGAAACTGAGAAAACAAAAGATCAAAAACGACAAAACGGATGACCAAAATTTAGAAACGACGACAAGAGAAAAACGGCAAAAAACGGAGCATAAAAAAAGGGATAAAGTGAATAAAAAGGTGGATAAAAAGGTGGATAAAATTATGGATAATTTTGAGGATAAAAAGGTAAATAAGAAGGTGAATAAAATTGATGATAAAAATGTGGATAAAATGAGGAATACAATAGAGGATAAAACGGATGAAGATTTTAAAAGTAACTCCAGCAGTATCACAAAAACCATAGATATAGCACCTGAGGTACCAGAATCCAGCAAACCTTTCCAATCCGACACGGAGAAACCACAACACAAATATAAACCAAAAACTGAACAGAATAGACACCACAAAAAAAACAAAGGCCACCCAAAGCCTCACAAATCAATAAATAAATTAAATGATGTAACCACGTGTAAAAAACCAAGTTTGGATTGCCCGTGTGAAATTTGCAAATTCATGAAACGTCGCCAAACGGAGTCGGACAGTCCGTTTATTAGTCAAATGAAGCGAGAGGAGAAGCGACGACAACTGCTGGAATACTACCGAATTAGGTGCTACCGCGAACAGCAGAAGTGCCGCAGCCACGAGTGCCGTGCTCCCCAGCACAAGTGCGATCCAATTGTATGCGACACTTTCTTCTGCAAAAATCCTAATATAGCCAAATACTGTGACTGCTTGAAGGCCATGCAGGACTTACAAAAACTGCTTGGTCCCAAGCATAACATTATTAATAATGAATTGATATTCAATTTGGAGGATCTGAGAAGTCGCATCTGCCAGCGCCTTTGTGATTGTGTTTCTTAACCTTTGCCCCAAATTCAAAGTTTTCAGATCGTACAAGTTAGTGACTATACATGTGTATGCAAATTAATTGCGAGCTGGTGAGACTTAGGGATTTATTTGGTGTATGCCTAATGTAATCCACGATAATATATGTTTTTCACTCTAATATACAAATTTGTTGTTTTCTTTTTAGCTCTAAGCTAACTTCTACTTAAGCTGTTCAAATGTAGGCGGGACGTCGTAGTATGGTCTAGACTTTCATGTGCTCTGAGCCGAGTTGAGCCAAAATTTGTGTGATGTATCAGAGATAAATTCGGATTTTATTAGAGTATGAGCCAAATTCAGCGGTATTTTGTGATATGTGATATTCGATACTTAAGAATCTTCCACCCGAAACTATCAATTCGGAATGAAAACATATCGTTTGTTGCCTCAACGGCTGTGTTTACATATTGCAGAATGCAGTTGCAATCTTGCATTAAAGATGGTCGGATGTAAATTGAAATGTAATAATGAGTAATATGGGAAGATGATCTTAATGATAACATTATTAGAAAAGCAGACATTTCAGTTTGCTTTATTTGCAGCCTACTTCAATATTACATATTTCAAAGGCCAAGGCAAATTCGTCAGGAAATATTTAGTTTATTTTGTAAGTTGTTTTGTATGTGATACTAGCAAAATTGTGTGGTTTTTGTATTGTTAATACTTGACAAATTTTCCAGATTTTATAATTCTATAGGTTTTATGAAGATTGATTAGGAATTTGAAAGGAAGGCCCAAACCGCAGGAAACACTTGATATGGATACAACGAAAGTTACCGCCTACGATGTTATGCGTATGCAGGACTTCAAGGCGTATTCATTTAGACCTGGTGAAATTTACCCCAGCGTCAGGCCCCCTGTGCCACGGTGTCCGCCTGCATTCACGGAAAAGTGGATATTCAATGTTGCTGAAAACACAGGCTGTAAATCGATTGATCCCAACCTCTACTCCAACAAAAAGATTTCCCAGCCGGAGAATGTTGTCACGCAAACAAGATTCGACAGACCCACTTCATCGGGTAAATATATTTGCAGTCAAGTGAATCTAGCTCAGAGAAACATTGATTATAGCAAGCTCACGCCGTACGATATGATGCGAATGTTTAATTGCAAGCCAGCCGACTTTCGCGAAGTTGAGATTTATCCATCTATTAGACCCGAAGTATCTAAGTGTTGTCCTGCTTTAACAGCAGAGTATTTGACCGACGCAGTTAGGGATAGTGGATGTAAGCGTCATTTCGATATGGAATTCGATGATATTATGGAGGTGTGGAGGCAAAGCCCCAATAAGGAAACATTAAGCTACTACGGTGTGGGCACAGGAATTCACAAGCCGGAGGCTGTTGTGTTTAACCAAGCAATTGCAAAGTGTCTTAAAGAAGTCAGTCCGCAACAGCCCAAACCAAAGGAAGTGCCTAAAATACCAGCTCCGACTGACTCAGATAGCGAGCCACCGGGATATGCTATTCTCAATCGTCCAAATCTGCATGCTGCAGTTAAGAAAATGCCCATCATTAAGGACGCTGTAAATGCGATGGGCACCTTTCGATGGATGTATTGTCCCCGTGATGAGGGCGAGTTCGTTGCATCTAAGCCTTTTCCGATCGAAAAAGCTCTGGACATGGAACAACCACCTAAGAAGTCCCTGCATGGCCTTAGGCGAAAACACAAGTACTGTGATCTGCAATGTGGTATTCCCACAAACATATGCACTCAGCTTGAGTGGTTTAAATACAAAGAAAATCAAAATTTATATGAAGCAAAGTATCAACAAGAGATAGATGATTTGAAGAACGAATTAGCAGCGGAATTGGGATTGGGATTGGGATTGGGATCGGGATTGGGATCGGGATTGGGATCGGGATTGGGATCGGGATTGGGATCGGGATCGGGATTAGATAAAAATAAGGAACAAAGGTTGGGAGATCATAATGCAGGAGCTACCGGGCCACGACTACATTCTAAATTAGTATCTCGACACTCACAGCCGAAGAACTATGACGAACTATATAAAACTTTGATTCCATTTTTTGAATATAAAAAGAAGGTGAATAAAACCAATGAGAATAGCAGTGATAGCGTGAGTGATAGTTCGATTGGTTCCCATATATCATCACAATTAATACCTGATGATTTTAAACGAACAAGTAAAAAACGAACTAACTTAAGAAAAAAACATTCAAGAATTCCACCTCGACGGTCCCCGAAGAGAAAGTCTGTGGGACGTTCTAGCCCAGCTAAGGATAGTGCATCAGAGCATGTGCTTTTTCGGGAAGAGTCGGATGTGGCGCTTGAAAAAACACAAACAATAGTGCAGCCACACGATAAAGATGGTGAAAACGATGGAGTGAAGGATTGCCCTTGTGAAATATGCGAATTTATGCAACGTCGCAAGAGAGAGCCAGACTCGCCGTTAATCCAGCAAATGAAAAGAGAAATCAAGCAAAGAGATCTGCGGAATTACTACAAGCAAATGCGCCACTGTCAATATATGAAATGCCGTCAAGCCGAATATCCCGCTCCCCAGCACAAGTGCGATCCCATTCAGTGCGACGACAGCTTCTGTGCCAATCAAAAGTTAGCAGGATACTGCGACTGCTTAAACGCTATGGAAAATCTGAAAAAGTTACTGGGTCCCAAACAATGCATTGTGGATTGTCAAGTGTGGTCCAACATAAACGAAATTCAAGATCGCATCTATCGTCGCCTACGTGAGTGTTTTTAGCCACGCGAACGATTTTAAATTTAACTTATTTTTTTAATGTTTTGAAAGTCCGTAATGTGACAAGTTTTAAATATAATCCTATAATGCTACCTACATACATGCTAGTTTTAAATGATGGCAGATTGAATAAAAGTTTGTTTTTGTATGGCACTAGATTCCCTTATATATAAGAAAGAATGGTATGTGCCCCTTTATTCATTCCAATCGATCTATATGTATTCGTATTGGGCTGCTTATGCGTGGTATTCGGATTTGAGAAACATGCGTCAGTTAATGCCGCCTACTTGAATGGTTCGTAACCAGGGTGTTTAAATCATATGTCAGTTTTCTGTTTATTATCAAAAATGCTCTGAAGCTGTAAGCTTTTCAAAATTTCCGTTATGTTGTAGAAACTCTTTTAAATTTTAATAACTTTCCTACTCTTTTACAAGTTAACAAAATAAAGCAATAAAAACTAATTAAAACGAAGCCGAATAATGCGTAAACAACAAAAGTCTCCGAACCGAAATATTGAATCGAGATCATTAAAAGCAAACGAACAAAGTATCAATGTCGATTACGTAAAACATAAAAATAAAAGAGTGTTAAACGAATCTAAGACACAGAATGAGGCAACACAGAAACGAATGCCTTGCAAGGAAGGCGATCCACGAAGCAAGATGATTAATTGTAAATATCTAAATAATTCCGATGCGATGCGTATGAAAAACTGCAAAGCATTCAATTTTACAAAGTCTGAGACCTATCCCAATATCAGACCGCCAGTATCACAGTGCAGTAATGCAGAGTCAGTTGATTGGTTGAGTTCTATTGAGGATTATGATTGCGGGCGTTATTTTAATATGGAGCACGACGATGTCATGGATGTCTGGAAAAAGGCCCTAGACAAACAGACACTGGGCTACTACGGAGTGAGCTCAGCCAACACTCAGCGGGAGGCAATCGAGTTCGATAAAGCGCTATCAGAATCACTCAAAAAGGCAACTGCCGTGAAGCGAACGGCAGTGATGCCTGGCGCACCTCCGCCGGCAAATATTCCGTATTCTGAAGAAGATTGTTCACCTTTTGTCCTCAATCGTCAGTTGCTGCAGGAAAAGCTTCAAGGCATGCCCACTGTACAAAGAAAGATCAATGCAAGCGAAGCATTTCGCATGCTGTACTGCAGCTCTCCTACTGAAAGAAAATATCCGTTTGCTCACGACGAACCCAGAATTCCCCTGACAACTACCTTGGATATGGATAGACCGGTCCCACAACAAAAGCATGGTATCCGGCGAAAGTACAAATACTGCGAACTGCAATGTGGTATTCCCCAGAATGAATGCACGGATTATGAGTGGATGAAATACAAACAAGATCCTAAGGCATATGACAAACATTTTAAGATAGGGACACAACAGATGAATAAGCCAGACCATGAACCGAGAGACTACGATGAGCTATACAAGCAGCTAGTATCCTGCTTTGAAAAGTATGATAAAGAGGATTCATTGTGTAAGATTTATAAAACTTGCTGTACATCAATGAAAGATACGATCAGTGAAACAATTGGCGGCGATCACACCCCACACACATCTCGGGTACCTCAAGGTAGTAAAAACAAAAAAATAAATTTCCCTGCTGAAGAGGACGATGATAGCGGACAAACCGGAGAATCCGACAAAACCGGAAAAACTGGACAACCCGGGCAAACGAACGACGAAAAATTTAACAAAAATAAGAAACCTCACCTAGATGATTCAGAAAGAGGAGAGCTTGAAAAGAGTAATCCAGACGACGAGAGCTCGAAAAAAGAAAAGGGCAAAAAGTCAAAAAAAGATGACGATAATTTAGAACCGAAGACCAGTAAAAAAGAGCATAAAACGGGGGATAAAACGGGGGATAAAACGGGGGATAAAACGGGGGGTAAAACGGGGGGTAAAACGGGGGGTAAAACGGGGGATAAAACGGGGGATAAAACGGGGGATAAAACGGGGGATAAAACAGGGGGTAACATTGGAGACAAATGGGGGGATAAAACAGGGGATAAATGGGGGGATAAATGGGAGGATAAAACGGTGGACAAAAATGAGGATAAAAACGTGTATAAAAATGAGGACGAGAAGGGGAATAAATCGGGCGAAGATATTAGAAGTAACAAATCAGGCGACTTATCAGAATCCAGCAAACCTTCAAAATCTGACACGGAGAAACGAAAACAAAAATATAAACCAAAAACTGAACAGAATAGACACCACAAAAAAAACAAAGGCCACCCAAAGCCTCACAAATCAATAATTAAATTAAATGATGTAACCACGTGTAAAAAACCAAGTTTGGATTGCCCGTGTGAAATTTGCAAATTCATGAAACGTCGCCAAACGGAGTCGGACAGTCCGTTTATTAGTCAAATGAAGCGAGAGGAGAAGCGACGACAACTGCTGGAATACTACCGAATTAGGTGCTACCGCGAACAGCAGAAGTGCCGCAGCCACGAGTGCCGTGCTCCCCAGCACAAGTGCGATCCAATTGTATGCGACACTTTCTTCTGCAAAAATCCTAATATAGCCAAATACTGTGACTGCTTGAAGGCCATGCAGGACTTACAAAAACTGCTTGGTCCCAAGCATAACATTATTAATAATGAATTGATATTCAATTTGGAGGATCTGAGAAGTCGCATCTGCCAGCGCCTTTGTGATTGTGTTTCTTAACCTTTGCCCCAAACTCAAAGTTTTCAGATCGTACAAGTTAGTGACTATACATGTGTATGCAAAATAATTGCGAGCTGGTGAGACTTAGTGATTTATTTGGTGTATGCCTAATGTAATCCACGATAATATATGTTTTTCACTCTAATATACAAATTTGTTGTTTTCTTTTTAGCTCTAAGCTAACTTCTACTTAAGCTGTTCAAATGTAGGGGGGACGTCGTAGTATGGTCTAGACTTTCATGTGCTCTGAGCCGAGTTGAGCCAAAATTTGTGTGATGCATCAGAGATAAATTCGCATTTTATTAGAGTATAAGCCAAATGCGAAAACATTCAGCAGTATTTTGTGATATGTGATATTCGATACTTAAGAATCTTCCACCCGAAACTATCAATTCGCAATGAAAACATATCGTTTGTTGCCTCAACGGCTGTGTTTACATATTGCAGAATGCAGTTGCAATCTTGCATTAAAGATGGTCGGATGTAAATGGAAATGTAATAATGAGTAATATGGGAAGATGATCTTAATGATAACATTATTAGAAAAGCAGACATTTCAGTTTGCTTTATTTGCAGCCTACTTCAATATTACATATTTCAAAGGCCAAGGCAAATTCGTCAGGAAATATTTAGTTTATTTTGTAAGTTGTTTTGTATGTGATACTAGCAAAATTGTGTGGTTTTTGTATTGTTAATACTTGACAAATTTTCCAGATTTTATAATTCTATCGATTTTATGAAGATTGATTAGGAATTTTAAAGGAAGGCCCAAACCGCAGGATGTCATCCGGGCAGCTAAGAAGTCTTTATATGGCCTAATAATGTGGTATTCCCACCTAAGGATACTCCAGTTTCAGGCAAGGAGCTTCCTAGGTCAGAGACAGAAAAGAACAAAAAGGGAGACCCAAAAGAAAGGCTAAGTTTAAGTTGATCAAGTTGTTGATAAGGAAGGTGACAAGGATGGTGTTGGGTGCTTCTGTGCCAATCCAAAGTTAGCAGGGTGTTGCGACTGCTTAGATGCTATGCAAAATCTGAAATCGAAATAAACGAAATTCAAGATCGCACCTATCATCGCCTACGTGAGTGTCTTTAGCCACAAACACGCGAATAATTTTAAATTTAACTTACTCTTTTTATGTTTTGAAAGTCTGTAATGTGACAAGTTTTAAATATAATCCTATAATGCTACCTACATACATGTTAGTTTTAAATGATGGCAGATTGAATAGAATAGTTTGTTTTTGAATGGTTCTAGATTCCGTTATATTTAGATAAGAAAGAATCGTATGTGTCCCTTTATGTGTATGTATGTATTCCAATCGATCTATATGTATTCGTCTTGAGCTGCCTATGCGTGTGCTGCGCTCTCCATATATATATATATATATGTAGATTTCATAATTGCGTATTCGGATTTCGGAAACATGCGTCAGTTAATGCCGCCTACTTGAATGGCTCGTAACCAGGGTGTTTAAATCATATGTCAGTTTTTTGTTTATTATCCAAAATGCTTTGAAGCTGTAAACATTCCAAAATTTCCGTTATGTTGTAGAAATTTTCTATAGATTTTAACTTTTCTAATCTTTTACAAGTCTAATTTAAACGCTGACCTCATAGAATGCGAAGACAACAAGAATCACATTTTAGGAATGCGGACCAGCTTACACTCCCCAGTGCCATGCAAATGGCGAACTGCAAGAATTTTGTATTTCGAAGAGACGAATTAAATTCCAGTACCAGGCCGCAGGTGTCTAAATTTAAATATACAGTTCCAATTTGCGGACCTGTTGATTTGCAGGTAGTTCACAGACTCGAACGAAATCGTATGGAGAAAAAAGATAAAAAGACAAGTAACGCCGACAAGTCTAATAAGAAAACCCGAAAAAGCTCTTTATCGAAGAAGCGTAAGCCATTTCTTGATAAAAGGAGTACGCCCAGAGAAGTCAAGCGGATGCTCAATAGCAAGGCGGCTACTTTCCAGCAATGGGAGACGTATCCCAGCGTACCATTAACTCCTGTATTAAAAAAGGTTTCAGTGCTTAACGATAGTTCTGTAGAGAATAGGCCTGGACGACCATTTGACATGGATCAGGATGATATTGTGGAGGTCTGGAGGCGAAGCCCCAACAAGGATACTCTGGGCTATTATGGCGTGGGCACTGGTACTTATAGACCAGAAGCAATCGTTTTCAATCAGGTGATTGAGAAGTGCCTGAAAAAGGTGAAACCACCAGAGGTTAAGGGGGAGTCAGAGAAGACTCCAGCCGGTCTATCAAAGCCTATGACAATGCATCAAACCTTCATAGTCAATCGTGAGCAAATGAAGTCCAAAGTTGATAAAATGGCTTGTCTAAAAGTTATCAAAGCCATCAGTTGGTTGCATTGTCCCCGTTCATTTGAGAGTGTTCAGCCATTTTTCCAAAGTGAGACACAGATCGGTCAAAAACATGCTGTTTCAGAGAAACGTTCCCCGAAAACTAGCCATTCGAGACGCAGGCAAAAGCAACAAAAGGGCGAACTTCAGCACTTTGAATGCGCCGAAGAGAAACACGAACCTACTCCATATGAAATTGCCTTCCAAAAGGAGATGGAAAAATTGGAGAAAAAAAATCAATCAGAGCCGTTGAAATATGATGAGCTCATTTCGAAAGTGCTCACTTGCTTTCAACAAAAATCGTACAAAGATTCAGGTTATGAAGCGTTTAAGAGCTGCAAAGCGACCTCTCAGCATGGATTTTATCCTGACTTCAACGGGCACAGCGACATAGGTGGAGGCGACAGTGCCCCTGGATGTGCCCCTACCCAAGAAATCGCACTGAGAGATGGCTTGGCTAGAGCAGGCGAAAGCGTGGAATTTAATGGCGGTGTATACAAATTTAGATATCCAGATCCAAAAAGCGATGATTCGAAAAGCTCACATAAAAGTAAATCCAGAGGAGCAGGAGATGGCATTGGTAGTAGTAGTAGTATTAGTAGTTGTGATGTAGATGGTTTGGATAAAGGGCTTTCCAAATCCAGTTCGACGCATAAAAAGTTTAAAGCACAATCCAAATTTGATGGAAAAAAGACTACTGAGAAACCGAGGAGGGTTCAACCATCTTCAGAAAGATCATTCGATTGGACGTATTGCAATCAACAACCGAATTACCCATTTAGTTCTCCATATGGTTTCGTCTCAGACGATTTATGTTCGAGCAACTCAAGAGATTCCAAATCGGACGAAGCTGAGAGATCTTCGTCGAAAAGAGGAAAAATCAATAAGCAGAAGAGTGCGAAAACAAATAGAAGGTGTATTCCTCATATATCACGATACATTCCTAACGATAAATATTCTAAAACAATACCTAACAGAGATTGCTTCTGTGAAGTTTGTGAACTTATGCAACGTCGCGACCGGGAGCCATATTCTCCTTTGGTCAATCAACTGAAAGAAGAAGAGAAGCTCCACAATCTCCGGCATTGCAAAGGGATGTGTCACAAAGAGCAGTTGACGTTCCGTAAGAAGGACTACCATTCATCACAGTACGAATGTGAGCCCGTAAAAGTTAGTAATTGCTTCTGCACAAGCCGGAAGTGGGGCGAATATCTTGACCGCCTAGATGCATTACAAGAGCTACAAAGATTGTTCGGTCATATGGATAATGAGCTGCTCTGTAAAGTGAAAGCACTGAAAGATCGTCTATGTTGGCAAATTTGTGAAGGTCTGCAAATACAAAGGAAGTTGATGGCTATTCGGCATTGAGGAAATTTTCGGTACAATTTTATACTTCTACGATGTCTTTAGTCTAGTCTAGTCAAATAAATGTTTCCTCTAAACAAAGTAATGTTTGCGATGTCATTTTATTCATAAGCAAACCATTCGCTCCCTTGAATCGGTGAAAGAATTTTGATGAGCTTGTGCATGTGAAAATACATACGAAGCCTACTTAAAGTATTAAAGCTGCAATTGATTTCGATAGGGGTCGGTCTGTGTGTCAGCTTTGCTTATTAAATAAAATGTTCTGAACCGAAAACATAAAATTTTCAAGTATTGCCTTACATAAAACCTGACTGGCTTTACAGGTTTTAGCATTAGACAAATCACATGAATATGGGCCAACGCAAGGTAGTTAGAGGGGAAGATCAAGCTCCCGGGGATAAAGTTGTAGACCGGCGCGGCAAAGAGCTCGACTACACACAACTCACCCTTTACGATGTGATGCGTATGGAAAACTACAAGGCCAGCCGATTTTTGAAAGAAGAGACTTATCCCAACATAAGACCGCCAATATCTAAGTGTTCTCATGAAAAGTCGGGAGAGCTTTTATCGGAGGCCTTTGTCAAGTTGGGTTCCAAGAAACCATTTGGCAAGGATAAGAGACATGACATCATGGAGATATGGAGGCAAACTCCAAACAAAGACTCACTTAGCTTTTATGGCATGGGATCGCGAACCGATCGGCCGGAAGCCGTTAAGTATCGAAAGGCTCTCTCCAACTCACTTGATATAGTCAACGGTGTAGAACGAAAATCAAAGAAATCAAAACAAAAACCAACGAAAGTTGTAAAGCCACCCAAGCCGAAAGGAGCCTATGTGCTCAATCGGAATACACTGCATTGTGCCATTAGCCAAATGCCTAGAATTCTACAGAAGACCAGGGCACAGAATGCCAACAGAATACTTCATTGTCCCGAGGATCAGCAGGATGACGATGAGTTCGGCGATAGCGATATTTATTTTCCTCTTCAAGTTGCTTTCGACATGTACAAGCCACCCAAACCACCGAAGCATGGCCTCAGACGTCACCACATGTATTGCGATTTGAAATGCGGCATTCCAGAAAACATGTGTACGTACTATCAATGGCTAAAGTACAAGGAAGGTACTCTGCCAGATAATGTTCAATTCGCATTGGAGCTGGAAAAAGAGCTGGAAAGAGAGCTGTGCATCAATAATAACTTCGAACCGAAGACCTTCGACGATCTTTATTCAAATCTGGTCTCCTGCTTTGAAAAGAACACATATCAAATTTCGCCGTGCACGATCTACGGCAAATGTTGCAGACGTCCCGCGGAACGTCACGTCATCCAAGGTTGCGGCGAAGATAAGATCTTCGGGCCTCAAGGTAAGTTGTGAAAACGGAACAAAGACTTAGATGGGAGTTTAGGGTCACAGTCAGAGTATATGGGTAAATATACTACGAACCAGAGCATTAAGATAACAGAGGAAAAGGGGGCAAAATAAAATACAACTTGTGACATATGATGTGACCGCGTAGAATACTATAAGCAAAAGGTCTAAAACTAATTATGAAAGTTACGAGTGTGGGTAAGGCTTCCAGCTAAGCCAAAATTCGTACGACCCTTTTTTTTGTCGGGCAACTAGGTCATTTTTATTGCCCTTTTGTTACACAACGAGCACATTACATAATTCATTTGGGAACAGAAAAAACGCGTCCGAGTCTCGTATTTTTTCACTCAGCCTTTTGACTTCAGTGACAACGATCCACGCTTCAGCGAATTTTATTAAAATCGCATTCCATATCAATGTAACAGCAACAGAAATACGACAGCAAATCCACTTTGATAGGCGACCAATTGAATACCCTAACCAAGCCCTTCAGGCAAGAGCGATGCTAATCACAATTTAAGTAAACACTTACTACGCAGCTAATAGCTTCTCTATAAGGGCAATAATCAAGTTTTTGGATCATCTATTTATCGTTCTTCAGCTTGTACCAACGAAACATTGCCCTATATATAATATATAGTAATTACACATACAAACTGTAATACCAAACTTGAAGACCCTTTCGTAAGGTCATCAAAAGAACATTTTTAATCAACGTGCGCCAAAAAAAGGACAACAAGCATGCCCTCTGGCCACAAGCACATACACACACACACACAGTGACACAGAAGTACATACCCGCACACACACGCACATCAACACACTCATGCACACTCAAAATGTAATGTAAAAGTGTTATGTGGGAAGTTAGGAGATTCTATGGCTTGCTTTTTAGCATATGTTTAATACAGACTTTCAAATGGACTGCAACATATGCAGCACTTTTTGCCAAGTTTCCGAGTTAATCATTCGCATATATACAATTTGCCAGCAGTGGGCGTGGCACACGCCCAATTCCCAGTCTCATTTCTCTGCGCGGCGCATTTCATTAGTGCAGCAATTTCGCTGTCCAGTGCGAGGCCAAAGCGCAACTCATTTGCCGTTGATAAGAGGGCCAAGGATTGGTTGGCGGAGGGGCGGGGTTTACATTGGGTTGGTCAGCTAGCCGGTGGGTGTGGCACATATGAATAATACTCGCAGCCCATCAAATGCCAGGCCCCATTGACCCAGGTTAAATATGCACTTCCAACTGAGCGTCGTCATGTGAAGAGCAGCCGATGAAGCGGGGCCGGCTAAGGGCGAAAGACTTTAAAAACACAGCTGTAGGACAGTGTATTTTTCCTTTTTTTTATTTTTTGCCTAGTAACTCGTGAAAAGTCAGAGCAAAAAGTCGAATGCTCGTTTTCTTTTTTGTTAGATTCATTGTTGTTGTTGTCTCGTTTCCTATTTGCCGCTGGCAGGATACGCTTGCCGGCTGGTTGAACCAGTCTGTCCCTGTTCGGGCGCTTCCTTTGGCAAACGTTACGTAAAATGCTTTTTATGCTCAATTCTTTGCAAAAAGTTGAGAGCTGGGAGTAGGATCACAGCCATGTTGCCGTGTCATTGCAATGATAAATGTATTTGGTCACACACACACACACACACACAGATAAAAATATCTGGACTTGGCCAACACTCACACCAATGCTCACATGAAACACTAAGTACACACAATAAGCGTTTGGGCCATGAAAAGAAAATTGCGTGAATCGAGCAAGAAGTAGCACACACACACATACACACATACACACATTGTACTCGAAGGAAATAACGGCAAGGGAAGCCAATGGAACGAGTAGAAACAGAGCAACAAATATGGCGACACAAAACAATGCCAATGTGGCTAACACATACGAGTCACATTTGTTTTTGCTTGTTGCCGGCGCCAGAAGCCTGAATATAACGCACGTGACCTGGCTAAGCAAAAACTATTCCAAATATATATATAAATCGTGGATTATGCGTGCCCACCTGAACAATAGAGCGTGTACTGCGACTGCCGCACTCTCCTCTGCCTTAACCTATAATTGGATTTCAATCGCTAAAGTCAAAGCAATTTTTATTAGCTCGTTTTTCGAATAGCTGCGCAAATGTTTGCATCGCTGCCGACCGCGTGCAAATATATACAAACATGCTCTACGTTCCTGAATTGTCGGAATAATTAATGTTGCCAATACTTTTATTTACAAACAAACAAACACGAGAGAGATGCAAGGAATGCTTCAAGTATCACACGAGATCAAATGAATTTTCCCATGCCATATGTTCGATACCCTTCAAGATTGCAATTAATTAGGTTGCGTATTAAGATATATGTACGGCTATATATCCATATATACTTAAACAAATTTTGGGCGCATTAATGCAGGTTTCAACTGACTCTTTAATTTAATGGCACATATCTATAGGCTTATTTTACTTACTTTTATATAATTAGTTTGTTTTTGGTTTCTTTATTTATATTTGCAACTGCTTTAAATACATAAACTGAAAAACCTTTGTCTTATTTGAATTCGTAAGAATTGTCAGATTACGGAAACGCGTTACATTCAAACAACATACATATATACATCTTTTCTTTATTAATATGCATGTATGTATATATATGTCAGTCATACTCTTCACACATTTTCTCTATATATATTTTTCCATTTGTTCGCCCATTTAATCTAACTAATCCTCTTATTACTTCACCCACATTCCAATCAAAGCGAATGAACAGATTTTAAATTAAATACCATAAATATCTCGAAACTCTTCAAAAACAAGTAGAAAGTAGATATAAATGTAATATAACTCTGTCTGCTTCAGTGCTGTTCGCTGTCGCAATAGTCGCTGCGTATACTTAATATTTTGTTTTTCGATTGAAATTTCAGAATGTCAATGTGAATGTGCTAAACACTAATGTATCGAAGTATACTCACCTTTGGCTTTTTGGCATATTGTCCTGTGCGCACATCACGTATTGTGGCAATGTCTAGAATGTCAAGTTCATTGTTTTGATCAACCCAATACAGGAAGAAGCCCTTTCCATCCACGCGCATTGTCACTGGCGTCCCACTGCCTGAATCCTGAATTGAAAAAAAAAAAAAGAAAAGGAAACATATGAATGAAATGTGTCTAGTTGCTAAATCTAAACCTATTACAGTATCAGCATAGCAATAATAAACGGTTACACTTGCGCTAAAAAAAAACACTCCAGCGACCACGGTTCGTTCAACTTGGCCGAGACTTATGAATTTATTGCAACGAATTTCGTTTTCCAATCGCCCGCAAAATGGCACGAACGAGAAAAGTCATCTCTGCTTATTATTTAAGTCAAATTAAATGGCCCTGTAAAATGTGCCCCTCCCCTGCCACCGCCCCCGCCAACTGCCATAAATATTTTAGCATTCATTCATAAAAACCAAAGAAAAGAATGCGAAATTTTCTTATGCTGGCCCCAGCTGGCGGCCGGGCAATGGCAAACAGATGCGCTCAGATAGAAAGAACAACGCGAGCGAAAAATGAAATATTTTATTTTTTATTTTATTTATTTCCTTTTGTTTTGTTTTTCGATATTCTCGTTTATTTTTGTTTTTAATATATTATATGCAAAACAAGACGCCACGAGACGTTTGAGAATTGTGCACAGCATCTCGTGGGCATCAACCGAGAGCAGCAATATTTCAATTTTCTCGGAATCTTCCTACTTGAAGAGCCGTTAAATGGTGCGTAAGATATAAACACCTATTAACAATTACAAAGCATATAGAATAGGCTAGATATATGTGTGCCACTTACAATACATTTTCAGCACTAGCTGCCAGCCCACTCAGCTCCGATCTCAGTGCCATGAAAGTTGTTAAAAATTTCGAATAGATAATTCGAATTTGCCGGATGCCATAAATTATCAGCTATGTGAATTTATAACGAAATAAATTAAATATTTGAATATTGCCATAACTTTGGTCAAACATAAAAGTTTGTCTTAAAATGAATCAATTAGCTTGCACAAAGTTGAGAAAGGTTGAAAACTGCATTTGCTTCGAATTAATTTTAAACTAATTTTAATTTTAAACTATGAAGTGAAACTTAAAATTCAGCTAAAGTTAGCTTAAACAAGTAAGAAAGCTCTAGTCGGGGTGCCCGACTAGGAGATACCCTGATCCCAGTCCTCTGAGTTTTTTTTAAATTTTCCGTAGTTTGTATCGAGTATTCAAAAAAAAAAGAAAACAAATAAAAATCGACATTGCGAGACCAGGATTCGAACCCGGATTATTTGCGCAACGTGCACAAACTCTACCAACACCGCCACTTCATAACTAAAAAAAAAAATAGAACAATAAAAACATTTCATCTCCACTGGTCTCGAACCCGGCCCAAGCTGCATACGAGCGGCGTCTCTACCAACGCAGCCACTTCCCTTCTTATGCGAGATGTTGCAAATTTGAACATAAGTAGCAGCTAATAATTCAGCACAATTCAATCGCAATTTCAATTCTTGGAATAGAAAAGAATGCACGCATTTGAATGTATGTGTGCACACGCATAGGAAAAATGCGTGCGCGTGGCGCTGCTGACATGTGCTTTTGCAAATTGGCCAAACGTTTTGTTTAATAACTTCTGTTTCACTTAATGGATTTTAATGAAATTTTCAGCATATGATCTACATATCCTATTGGCTTGGTTGAGATGCAAACGCCTTCACATAATGGCCCTAGTTCCAACTAAACTTAAATTCTAAGAATTTGGGGGAATTTGGAGCCGGTATCCAAAATCCAACAAAAATCAAAATTGCATAAAATATACATAAGACTAAATACAAAATTTGGAAGCTCTAGCTCTTAAGACGTTCGAGATATAATTTATTTACTGCATTTCAATAATGTTTTTATTCGATAACAATTAAATGCGAATAGTTATCGAATATTTGAAACAAACTTGACCTGCGCGTGCTATACACGGACCTACAAAAAAAATTTCAAGTCTCTAGCTCTTATAGATGCTGAGATCCACGCGTTCACACATACGGACAGACGGACAGACGGACAGACGGACAGACGGACAGACGGACAGACGGACAGACAGACAGACGGACAGGGCTCAATCGACTCGGCTTGTCGTCCTGATCAAGAATATATATACTTTATGGGGTCTGCCACGCCTCCTTCTGCCTGTTACATACATTTGCACAAAACCATTATACCCTGATTTCCCATTTTTAATGGGATCAGGGTATAAAAAATTAGAAAGCAAATTAAACAAAATTTATTTTGCGTTCATAACGAAAGTTTAAAAGAACCAACTACAAAATATCAGGAATTAAAAATAAAATAATTTAAAATTGCAGAAATATATATTAATATATATTTTATTAAGCGCAAGTTTCGTCGCTCACTTTAAACTGTCGTGAATTCATTGCAGACATATTATTTTAGATATATATTCAAAATACTTTCGACACTTAGCTGAGCACAAAACAAGAGTTTACTATTTCCAGTAAGCTCTACAAAATTAAATAGAAATTGCTTAGGCTATTTGCGTTTGTACGAAGAATTACGAGCAAATTTTAATGCCATCTATTAAAATGTTACGACTTGAGGCACAAATCGTGATGTTTGGCAAGATGGGAGCTTAAGCGATGCATGGCATGTTACGTAAGATAGAGCATAGAAATATGTAAGTATAAATAATATTATAAGCAAATTTAGTTAAATAAAAGACCAAAAAGTTACTTTACTCAAATTCAAGTCTTTTCGACTGTATCTTTATTTGTATAATTATTTTTGTCATGCACTCAACGTTGACCCTTGAAATATGACCATTAATATAAGGGAATAAGTGTTATTTTTGGTCGAGAATTGATGACCATTGAAATAGTCTTAATGAGCAAATTGAATTCGCAGCTGTTCGGTAGTTCATTATCCTTTGTTGAGGTCGGTTTAATGAACTCGCAAGGTGGCAAAGTGGCCCCAATTTCGCTTTGGGGAATTCTGCCCGCCCTAACAACCTACTCTCTACTAATAATTGATATTGAAAACATTAACTTGCAGTTCAAATTTTTGCTCTGGGGGCATTTGGGGTCATTCGGGACTCGAATATGGCTCGGTTCATTTCCTTCGGTGGGACCAGCGACCCCAACACATCCCCTTCCGCCGCATTTATATTCAATTAAGCGCATATTTTCTGCAGATTTTTGGGCTGCCACTGAAAAGGGTTGCGTTGCGCTAATTGGACTACAAGTTAACCCCGCATAAACCGAATATTTCGATACTCGAGAACGAGCATTTTGTATTGTTTGCCCCGTTTGTCGAATTACTTTTAACTAATTGAGCTGCCCCGCCATCGACCCGATCGTTAATTTCCAGTCAATGTGCACAGTTGAGTGTTAACCAACACTGGCAATCGGCTAAACAGCCCAGTGAATTGTCAAATGTCTCTGCAAATTGAGTGAGAAATGGCAAATTCAAAACTTGTGACTGAAGACAGAATCAATCTCGCTCTCTCTCCTTCTGTTAGCTTGTTTGGGCTCAGAACGATTACATGCATAATTCAATTGATGTAACAGCCTGTCTGTGCTCTGTGACACAGGGCTGTCTATGCCACACACAACCACGCAGAGGGCGACAACGAAGGAGCAGTTGGTTTTGTTGGTTAGGCGCCTGCACAAAAAGGGATAATTCTGTGCACAGATGTGCCTCAGTAGCAGTTGAACACAGATATAGTGATACAGATACATATACAGATATATCTACATCCACAGATACATCTACATCTATGCATATTGTGTTGTCAATCATGCTTAGGGGCCTGCCAATAAAGCCGCCAACTGCGTGTTCCAGTTGCCCATACGCAGAGCGTCAACTGCTTCGGGGACTATGCAAATGTTATTTGGGATTATCCAGCTGCCGCTGCAAGCTATCTTTGCGTATGGGGATTTCTATTACCCCTTTGCGCTCAGTTCTTTTGCCAAAGTTAAACTATTGAGTGAGTATGCTTTTCTGCAATGCCTGACTTCTTAATACCCTGTAAAGACAGCTATATCATCGGAAGTTGCCTAGGCATTGGCTTCTGTTAGATCTCTCAGAAAGTTCAAAGTCAAATGTCAGTCTCTGTCTCAAGCTTAATCACGAGCTAATACACTCCACTGCATATTTAATATGTATAGGGTATATGTAGAACCTTCGGCAGCTGCAACTTCAAACTACATGCAAATGTTGTCATAAAAATGTAGACAGCCTCCACGGCTGTCACCTGTGCAAGTTTGTTGAGCACTTCAAACTAGCTGCTCGAGTTGCTGCTGTTGGTTTAAAGTTTTGCCAGGCACTTATTACGCATACGCCAAGTGGTGCACTCGACTGAACCCAGCCCCTAGCAGCTGCAGCGGTCGCCGTTGCTGGCCCGACGCACAGCTTACCTCAAATTAAGATTGATGTACAAAAAACATAGAAAATTCAGCTGAAAATCCATTGCAATTTGACCCTGAACTCAAAGCAGTTACACGGCTAGAATTAGGCATGTGCGATCTAACACATCGAACAATCTAAACGGAGCTTATCGACCATCGGCAACACTGATAGAGCATTACCTATATCTAAGTATTATAGAGATTAGATAGTTGTTGTTTGCTTTAATGGGCGATAAATGTGTTACGCAAAGATCAAAGCTATACGAATTTAGCTTAAGGACTGTGCTAGCTGACACTCAGTTCAGCTGGTAATAGGCGCTAATCACTTGGTAGATCCAATTCACATAGGCGGGCACAGAGGTGTAGACAGTCGGCCGATCAGCGTAGCCGCAGGGTATGTAGGTCCAGGAGCCCAGTCCCACAAGCTCGGCGGGTCCATCGATGGGCCAGTAAACCAAGGGACTGCCGCCGTCTCCAAAGCACGCTTTCACCTGGGCACACACCTGACTCTTCGAGAGCGGCGCATCTGCCGGCAACAGCTTCGCGCATTGTACGCTATTTAGCAGTGGAGCAAATCCATACTGCAGCTTCTTCGAATATTCATCACCATCAGCATTGGTTAGACCCCAGCCATAGAGAGCGGTCGTCTTGTTGCTGTAGTCCTCGTCGAGATCTGGCAGAGAAATTTGCTGGACACGACTCGAGTAGACAAATGACTTGGAGACGTGCAGCAGGGCGATGTTGTCGCTGCCGGCTACGCCGCTGAATGAGCGATGCGTCGCAGCAAAGTCCACGTAGCGCACCTGAGCGTCGCTTACGTTGGACCGATTGGAGAGACCCGCATAGATGGGAGTGCCGACGATGTCACCATTGAAGCTGCGCAGCTCCTCGGCGCAATGTGCAGTGGTGAGCACCCAGCGCTTGCCAATAATGGAGCCTGCACACTGATGACTGTAGATGAGCGGGGTAAGGCTCAGTGAGACGAGATAAGGCGCATTATCCACGCCCTGCACATCGTAGCCGCCTATAATGCGCGATGACATTTCCACTGTTTGATCATCTTTAATTTTCTGCATTACGCGCTCCACCAAATGGGGCGCAACTTTCTGCGCCCTGGCCAATTCCTCAAAGTGCTCCGACAGCAGGTGTTCAAGCTGAGGCTGCTGCCCAATGGCATTGGCTTTGGCCAGCGCCAAAAGCGGCAGCAAAGCAATCAGAATTTTTAACGCAAACATAGCGTTTCGTATAGCGGTGAATGTGAACTGGTCCCGGAAGCTCTTCAGTCTATATATATAAACCTAGTCGTCCACTGGAGCTTTACGATACGCGACGAGTATAACAAGAGCGATTACTGTTTTTGAGGTAAGATAGTGCGATAGCGTATTCGATTAGCGATGGCAACGTGTTCGATACTCCGAGCAGCGGCTAGTTGAGTTAGCTATCAATATGGGAGACTCTCTTGTCGATGTGAACCATGACAAAGCGCATTGTGAGTAGAGAGAATTTCCCTTGCACTTAACACCTTGGCACTTGATGGGCTGTTTTAAAATCTGTTTTCAATGACTACTTCAGATGTCATAACAAAACTGACATTCCTGATTATATATGGCAACTATAAGAGCAACTAATCAAACGTAATTTGTTACAAGAGCATTCGGAACTCTTGCCCTTCGCGCTTCATAACGTCAGCAACTCCACAGCTTCTGAGATCAGAAAAGGTTTATTTGCGTTTAGCTTCTAAATCAAGTCAGACAATAATGAGAAATCTAATTGGATGCTGATGTCAAGCTGATTACTTCAGTCTGAGGCATGGCGCTTAATAGATTAATTTAATTGCAAAGAGCTTGTAAAGATTTGCTCGAAAATTGCACAATGGCCGACGCATTTAAGCCAGGCGCTAATTAGAGGATTCTTTGTGTCTGGTCGGAATTTTATTATCATTGTTTAACTGGACTTTAAAGTGGCATCTACGTGTTTGGCACATGCTGCGTGTTTTTTTTCCGCCATTGGGCTTTTCCCGCTTGTTGTTTTTAATGTGTACACAGTTCGGTGTGCGTGTGTGCGGTTGCACAAAGTCCAAAGCCCGCAGCGGCGTAAAATTTGCTTTTAATTGGCTAAGCCCGTAAAATGGCCGCCATCTGCCGCAGGCCGAACAGGCTGGACAATGTCCACTCTTTTATGTATGCCCGCCAAGGACGCGCATCCCTTTTTAGACTTACAACCCCAATGCCTCTATATATATATATATACATGTATGTATTCATATATTTTTAGCGCCCTTTTGCGCTAGGGGACTCTAGGCTCCGGGCCACCTGGCACGCGTGGCTTGTCAACGCCTTACAACACACGTTACGCAAGCTAAAAATATGGCAATTATTAGAGCTGTAAATGTAAAACATGTAGGAACTTTAGGGTCGCCGGGCTTAACAAGCTTCGTTATCATTATCAGCTGGCATTGGATTAGCGTAATTTTCGCTTATTGGGAAAAAAATCAAGTCATAAATGCTTATTATTAGCTGAAAGTGAAATCATTTTTCATAAATCTATCTTCTAATCGCACGATAACACTTATTGCCAAAGCGAGCCATGGCGCCTATAAAAAGTCTGGGAGTATTGCCGATTTCATCATTCAGGGCCCATTGCTTCAACCAGAATGAAAGTACTTGCATTTACCCTTCTTGCTCTAGTGGCTGCCAGCGCCCAGGCCGGCAAGCTGACCGACGCCTTGGTCAAGGTTATTCCGAGTTTTCCCACCGGATTCGTGATCAACGGTACTGAAGCCGATCCCCATTCCGCACCTTACATCGTCTCCCTGGGCACCAACTTCAACAAGCACTCGCACATCTGCGGAGGAACCATCATCAACAAGGAATGGATCGTCACAGCCGCCCATTGCATCTCCAACCCCGTTGGCATGAGCGCCATCGCTGGCCTCCACATCCGCGCCGAGGTCGATGAGCGCACGCAGCATCGCCAGATTGACTTTGGTCGCGTCCACGAGCAGTACAGCGGCGGCGTCGGACCCTTCGACATTGCTGTGTTGCACGTCAGCGAGCCCTTCGAATTCAACGAGTTCGTCAGTCCAGCTACCCTGCCCAGCCGCGAGGAAATCCACGAGGGTGAGACCCATCTGTACGGTTGGGGCCAGCCCAAGTCATATATATTCACACCCGCCAAGACTCTGTTGACAATCACCACCGAGATTGTCAACTACGAACAGTGCAAGGAAGTTCTACCCGAAGATGCCCCATTGGCTTCCACCAATCTGTGCTCCGACTCCCTGCAGGAGAGCAAATCTGCTTGCAATGGTGACTCCGGCGGCCCCCTGGTCGTCGAGCACGCCGATGCTGCCTCTGAGCTGATCGGCGTTGTCTCCTGGGGCTACATTCCCTGCGGCCTGGCTAACATGCCCTCGGTCTACACTCGTGTCTCTGCCTACGTCGACTGGATTGCCAAGATCCAGAGTGCTTTCTATATTCTGAACTAATTTGTTTGTTTGTTGTGCATAAATTGTAATAAACAATTTACTTGACTCTAGTCAGGTTCAGTTTCATGATTTGACTATATAATGCACTTTTAATAGATCATGTGATCTGATAATTTTTCTTTAATCTAAGGAAATTTACAATCTCCGATTATTGGCTTGGATTAGTCAATCTTTATATGATTTGTGTTAAAGTTTACTGCATGCTTTGTCTGCAATAGATTAGCTAAAGACTAGAAATATTACTGAAAGCGAGTTTAACTAACTGGGCAATATACATAAAACAGTTGAAGAGGCACGAAAATTGCATTATTCGGATAAGCAAACTAACTTAAAAGGGAAATCAAGTCGTTAGTCATTAGATTTTTGGCTCTACTTGGAGACCACATTGTATTTAAAGTGTGTTCTTTAAGCTAGAGGCCAAGTTTGAGCAAGTTGAAAGTGCATTTGCACTAGAACGAATATACCCTGTTACTCTTAATCCCTACAGTATTCAGCAAACAAAAGCACGACTAAGAAGCTTTAGTTAACTTATCTCTATGATTAGGCAATTCATATTACTAATATTGCCAAAGTTGTAGAAACTTTTTTAAAGCTCTCTGAACTACGATCATTCATAAGTAAATTTATGGGACCAATTTGCGTGGACTTCAATTAAAGGTAATCAGCTTTAAATATTTATGACTCATAAATATTTCTGCTTTTGCCTATTAATTTTATGAAAAGATGAATTTACCTCTTGAATAAATAAGTAAATTATGAAATTGTGAAGAATAAATTTAAATTGAAAATTCTTTACTCTGTGGATATTGAAATTCCCAAATGTTTCTATATATAACTAAAAATAATTTATCATAAATGTTTCAGTATTATTTCTGCTTTCAATACGTTCAATATGGGAATATTAAAAACTCAAAACAAGTCACTTCCAGTCTCTAGCAGCTGTAACATTTTTCGATTGCCTTCCCCTTAGTGACGAACGTGTCATGACTATAGATGGTCGGTCGGACAAAAAGACGGAGATTGCTTCAATATACTTAATACCATATGCTTTTACTTTATGAATGAGTGTAATGAACGATTCTATCGAGCAGTCTTTCGATTCATCGTTATAGATTTCGATTCATCTACTACAAGTGTTAAACCTTTTTATTTCTTATCAATTGGCTTTTGCCCATAGAAGATCAGATTTGGATGATTAGCCAGAATTTCAAAAGCTGGGAAAACTGAACTCGCAAACTATGATTGTCGCTTTAAGGGCAATCAGCATTGTAAATCCATCTGCTAATCTGCCCATAATAACTCTTCTAATGCTTCTTCTTCCGGGTTAATACACCTATAAAAGATTACACCGCATCAGCGGTTATATCATTTGAGCTCGTAACTTCAAGGCAATCAACCGAAATGAAAGTAGTCGCCGTTACGCTCTTCGCCCTTCTGGCTGCCAGCGCTCAGGCTGGCAAGCTGAGCGATTCTCTGGTCAAGGTGATTCCTAGCTTTGCCACTGGATTCGTTATAAATGGCACCGACGCTGAGCCCCATCAGGCGCCTTACATTGTGTCCCTGTCCAACAACTTCAACAATCATTCGCACATCTGCGGCGGCACCATTGTCAACAAGGAATGGATCGTCACAGCTGCCCACTGCATCTCCAACCCAGTCGGCATGAGCGTCATCGCCGGTCTGCACGAGCGTACCGAGGTCGACGAACGTACCCAACACCGCCAGATTGACTTTGGTCGCATCCACGAACAGTTCGGAGGTGGTGTTGGCCCCTATGATATCGCCGTCTTGCACGTGAGCGAGCCCTTCGACTTCAACTCTGCAGACCATCACCACCAACATTATCAACTACGATGAGTGTCTGTATTTAATGCCCGCGAATTCCTCCCTAGCTGCAAGCAACATTTGCTCCGATTCGCTGCAGCAGAGCAAATCTGCATGCAATGGCGACTCCGGCGGCCCCCTGGTCGTCGAGCACGACGATGCTGCCTCTGAGCTCATTGGCATTGTCTCCTGGGGCTACATTCCCTGCGGCTTGGCCTCAGTCTACACGCGTGTCTCCTCCTACATCGACTGGATTGCCAAGATCCAGAGCGCCTACTACATTCTAAACTAAATTGTAGTTGTTATCAATAAAAGTGAAATCGGTTTGATTTGTACAAACTAAACTACCTATCTTTATTCGATTTGACAGCTTGATGTGGCATTTTTTGATAATTGTCGTTGAAATTTTTATTACTAATTAATTTATATTGATTAGTTTATTGGCATGGCATTTTGTGATGAGATGTGTAACGTAGCTCAAAAGATACCCATGATTCCATAAAGTATAGTGGATCTTGATCAAATGATTAGTTAAACTATTTTACTGCCAACAAATTTATATATTTCTTCATGTTGCCTTTAGCTGAGTCGAGTCGAAACAATCGTCTGATTAACTTATTAATTTAAAATTATAAAACCATCTGGCAACACCAATTTACCTATCATGTTATAAGTATGTTGATAAGTTGGCTAAGCTTCTACATTAAGCAGTCTGGCAATATTGACGGGCGTTACCAATTAAATAATACGGTCACATAGATTTAATCTCAAAATCGTATTTCAAATTCATCAATCTGCACAACTCTAAAATTCTAAAATATATTCACTTTCATTTGCAACATACTCAGGTTATAGCTTGTGGTTCCAAACTGAAGAACATACAATTTTCCCCACTTGCCATGCATTTGTGGATCATATTCAATATCATCAATCATATGCCCAGTCTTCAGGAGGTTGAAAAGCCAATTAACACTTTACTTTGTAAATGAACAACAAATATATATAGTAATATGTAATGCTTAATCTCAAACCTAGTAAGCTTCAACAAACAATCTGGCAACACCGAAAAACGAACTTGGCCTTGTTAAGTTGGCTGCGACAGCCGCTTTACACCACATGTGTAGCGAAGAATTTCGAAATGATATGATTATACGAGAGATAATTTGAACTCCCTGTCAGTTGCCTGCAAAAGTCGATGATCACATCGTTGGGGAACTTCCCACACGCTCCTATGCTTTACGACCCGCGGCCAATCAGACGAATGATCTTGCAAAAAACCTACTTTGTTTTGTTTATAGAGATTAACTAAAATATATGGTGGTCGGGAATGTAAACTGTATTCGAGATTTACGAGCCACTTGCCACCTTATTTATTTTCGCATAGACTTGGCTCCTCCGCCGAACCACTTATCTGATGATTCGATCGATTGCAAAGTTTCCATTGATGTTGATCTAAAGTGGGCTGTCTGGTATACTTAGCTTAATCGGGACACGGTCATTTGCGAAATGCGGCAGCACAAAGTAAGGATTGTAAATCTGCAGCGCGTCAATTGAACGACTTCCATAAAGACCAGTTGCCATTGATAGCTAAATCTATATACGATAAGCTCGACTAACTGATAAGGCGCCACTGGTTGGGGCTATAAAAGAGAATGCTCCGGCTACCAATAACAAACAGTAAACTGCGTAGTCAACAGCTGTTAACATGAAACTTTTTGTGGTGCTCATTGCATTGGCCGTGGCCTCGGCAAAGGCCAACATTATTGGCTGGCCCGGATTCCCCGAGGGTCGCATCATCAATGGCAACGAGGCCAGGGCTGGTGAGGCACCCTTCATTGTGTCCCTGCAGACGACCAAGAACGCCCACTACTGCGCCGGCTCTCTGATCAGCGATCGTGTTGTCCTTACCGCCGCCCACTGCATGACCTACGCCAACTTCCAGGTGGTTGCTGGCGCTCACAGCCGCTCGGACAACTCCCAGACGCAGGTGCGTCAGGCCAGCAGCTCCCGCCAGACGGTGCACGAGAAGTACGACGGCGGTGTCGGTCCCTACGATCTGGGTCTGATCTTCCTGGAGAAGCCTTTCGATATTAACGCATTGACACGCGATGGCAGCGCACCTGTGTCGACCATCTCGCTGGCCACCAACCAGTTCACCGCCAACACCGATGGCGTGCTCTTCGGCTGGGGACGCGACAACTCTGGCTCGCTGCCCGACAAGCTGCAGAAATTGGATGTGGATATCATTGGCTACAACGAGTGCTTGGCTCAGCTGCCACGTGGCAACAAACTGGCCGATAGCAACATTTGCACCTACACCGCCGGCACCACCGATGGCGCCTGCAACGGCGACAGCGGCGGCCCATTGGTTAACAAGAAGGCCGATGGCTCCTACCAACTGGTTGGCATTGTCTCCTGGGGCTACACTCCGTGTGCCAGCACCAAGTATCCATCTGTCTACACCTACACAGGTGCCTACACCTCCTGGATCCAGGAGCACAGCAACGACTACTAAAGCGTCTGATTGAATAAACGAAATGAACTTTTGCAATACTTACGTCGTCCCATTTGATAAACTTCTCGCCATCCTGCAGAGCCTGTGGCACCTCCACGCTGGCCGTCGATATGTAGGTGCCGCCTGCGCTCATCATTCTGTTGCCCTTTTTTTGCCCTTGTTGCCTCTTGTTTCCCCTACGTTGATTTGGTTTAGCTTGTTTTAGTTAGTTTCTGTTTTTTTTTTTGTTTGTTTTTGGCTGGCTTTAGCCGCTGCGCTGCATTTCCTTTGTTGAATTTGTTTCGTTTTCAGCTTTTGTGGTTCTCGCAATTGTTGTTGTTGCTGTTGCTGTTGAGTTTGCTTCGCATACAAATGACGCCATTTGAGCGTGGTCCTGGTCCTGGCCTCAATTAGACCGCCGCTGCAACTGCGGCTCGTTTCACCTGCACCAGCTGCATTCTGTGGGCTTCACTGCTGCAGCTTGATTAAAATTCCGCTAATGTCCGACTGCAAAAGAGATGGAGACAAACAAACGTTTAGAGTGGAGTTATCAAATTGCCAAGTAGCTGCAGTAGTACATATTTGTTCTACTTAATGCACTCTAACAGAGATTGCCTATCAGCAGCAACTGCTGGCCCTGCCCCGTTCTGAATACTTGAACATCTTATTAAAGAGCTTTTAATATTTTGACATTAGAGCAGGGGTTTAGCTAACTTCTTTTGTTAGGCTTTCTTCTGAGACTTTCTGAGCCTAATTCTAAGACTGGTTTATCTTACACTCAAAACAAAGTCACCAAAATTTACTTTTTCTACATGTTTTAGTTAAGCAACCAAAAATCTAGCGCAATATTTGCGTCTATAGCTTAGGCTTGCTCTTTAAGCTTTACTCAACTTTTCTCTACAAACTGCTCAAGCTCAAGTCAGCTTTAATTTAAGCAGCTATTTGCCCAGCAGCAGCTTGTGGTCTCCCAATGCCTAAAAGTAATTATATTTCTTTGCTTCAGATTTGCTAAACAAAATTCTATAAAAATGCTATTAAAATAAATGCAAATTTATTTCGTTTCTTCTTCTTTAAGAGTCTCAATGAGGAAAGTTTTGTTACAAAATATGCCAATGCTTAATATTTATGAAAATTTCTGTTGATTATCTTTGTTGCATAACGTGGAAAATTCAAGGAAAGTCAATTTTTTTTCTCTTAAAGTCTTCAACAGAGTTTCATTTGTTATTGCCTTTGTTTCCGTTGTCATCTTTGCTTTCAATCAAATCCAATTCCATTCTTATATTTTTGGTTTCTTAGCTTTTTTCCTACATTTTCGCAAAGATAAAGAAAACAACTGCAAGAGAGATTTGCTACTGGCAAGCGTGATTCGATTCAGCTTTGAGCTCGCTCGCACTCTCCTCCTTTTCTCCCTTTGACATACATCAGAGTTGAGCAAAATTTATGGAAATATATTTTGAGGGCTTGTTTCATATTTCAAGCTTTCTATTTAGAAAGAAGAATATATTTTTGAATTTGTAAAAATAGTTGTGCTTCGGCTATATTCAAATCAATTCATGCCCATTCTCTGTCCAGCTGAATAGCCAGCTCGTTAGGGTCAGCTCTGGCTGCTGCCTTTGCACAGATTTTGGCTTACGCTTTGTTAGCCTATTTTCGGGCTGCCTTGGCGCATTGTATGGGTTTTTTTGTCTTTTCGCATTTCGTTTATTCAAAATTGTTTTCTCGCTAATTTGGCGCACAAACGTTGTCAGTTCACAGTCTTCAGTTTTCAGTTTTCAATTAGCTGAGCGAACAACTTTTGACCCCGGACCGTAGCTGAAGCTGAAGCTGTATTGTGCTTGAACTTTAAATAGGCATCCGGTTGAGGCGAAGTTCCTAAAACGGAACTGTGCACCGATGACAGCTGACGATAAATGTTCAGTAAATTCACTCATTCAGTATGCGCTGCTCGCTCGTGAATCATTCATGGCAAATGCTTTAAGTTTTGCTCTCGAAAACACTTAATCCGCTTACGACAAGCCAGCACAAGAGCCCAGGGAGAAGCAGATAATGGCTGATAGAGTCGGATACTAAGAGACACTCACACTCACCCACTCGCACACACTATGCACACACACATACGTGACTTTCCAACTAATTCATTTATAATTTCTTTCGGCCAAGCCATAACCAATTCCAGCCAAAGACACAAAATGAAAACGTAAGCAAACTTTTAGTCAGTCCACAAGCCACACAGCTTGACCATGTGTGTGGGTGTGTTAATGTGTGCTTTTCACACACACACACACACACACACACACACACACACACACACACACACACACACGCATACACACACATATTCGAAAGGAAGTCATTTGTTTTTTTGTTATTGTTGTTGGTGCGCACTTTGGTAAATATAAATTGAATTTGTGTGCATTTATTTTTGGCAGTTTTCCTTTTCATTTTCCATTTTCCACTTTTGCACATTTTCCGTATTGTCCGCAAACGGAACATTCACAAATTGAGCTTCGTACGTCAAGGCAAATGTCTGCCCGCTGCGGAAGTAATTAAACATTTTGTTTTGCATGCGAAACGCGTGGAAATGATTGGAAAATTGTTATGGCTTACATAAGCGCGAAGGGAAAATCGAATGAAAATTGCCAGTCGTTTCAGCTTTTCCTTTTTGCACAACGGTTCCTTCAGCGCTATTTTCATTTCATTTTTCTGTTTTCTGTTTTTCTGTTTTCCTTTTTTTTATTCGCACAAATCGTTTTAAGTGTTTTATGGCAAACGGGCAAAAATTTATTGCAACCAATTTGCAGATATACCCACGCACCCACAGGTGGGGTGGGGGGATGTGGATGGAAATCACAGCGGCAACATACAGATTTGAAGTGACTTCCACTTCTAGTGAACCAACAACAACAACAGCAGCAGCAGCAGCGGTAGCAGGGCCAAAGCGAGAGTCGCATGAATCATGCATGCGACACAAAACAGAACAAAATGGCGGCTCGCTCGCTCCCAACAAACGCTTTCGGGGCAGCGCCATAAATCAAAAGACGTCCCAGTCGAAAAAAATAAATAAAAATATGTTTGCCGACTGTAAAACGCACAGAATGAAGCTAAGAAATTCGTGAATACTCTTTGCAAAGATCAAGTCAAGTTTTCACTCTCACTTTATGTGCCATTACGCATAGCACTAAGCAAGCTGTCCTCCTTGGCTAGTTTATGTTGGCTTTAAGTGCACAAGATAAAAATGGGATTTGTCTCTTGTCGGACAATGTATTTTATACATTGAGCCTCTTAGACTCGCTCTCTGATGTTATACTAACAGCCATTAGACTGTGCTCCATGGTCTAATCTAATGACCCAGCTCTTGTTAGCTGTAAATTGTGGCAATATGCTCTCTGGCTATCATTGCATAGATAATACTAACTTTTAATCATATTTGTCCCGCATGGTTACTTTACAATTAATACTTATAGTCTAGCTGCTGAACTGGATTTTAACTAGAAGTTACCTTTGGATTCTCTTATGCGTGCCTAGTTTTAGATATTATATATTTGCTCAGCTTGAATCGTATCTCCAGCTTGTACTAAACTCTTCAATTGTGTCAAAAGATAAATGTAAAATCTAAAACTATTATCCATCATAGTCTTTTTATGCTATATAATCGTATGAAATATTGAATTTAACTGTCAAGCATTCTCTATCTACTAAAAACTTATACATAATATGCTAAAGTATTCCATTTTATCTTATGAAACACTGATTAATAGTTCAATTACCTGTTGAAGGTATGTCGAAACGATTTCTGCTAAACATATTTGTAATCTCTAATATTATTATCCTCCATGGTCACTTAAATGCAATAAAATCCTATAAAACTGTTGAATTTTTCTCTCTGGTCACATTATGTAGGCCCATAAAAGACACCTCAGACATATATTAATGCACATGTTCTTCATGGTCACATATACAAACAACTCTTTAGCCATAACAGTAATGCGCTGCTTGAACATTATGTAGAATATGCTTATTGTTATGGGTCCAGAAAGGAAAAGAAGGAAAAGTAAAATAAATACCCTTTCCGGGACGTAATCAAACTTATTCAGCCTGCGGCAGATGCCGCACAACTGACTGCCAAATCAGCTGTTGTTGTTGCTGCTGTTGCTCTTGCTGCTGCTGTTGTAGCAACAGCAGCAAGGAAGTTGCTTGTCAAACGGCAATCTTGAAGCATGGAGCTTGGCACTGGCAAAAAACATGATAATCAAATCAAGGCGCCAGCTATTTGGTTAATGTGCATGACAGCGTTGCCGATGCCGACGAAGAAGACGACGACGAGGCTGCTGCCAGCCAAGTTAAAATGCTTAAAAGTGAGGCAGGTGAGCTTCAAAAGATAAGCAACAGCAGCGACGGCAGCGAGGGCGGCAAAAATTGTGTGGCATGCTTTTAGGAGCAAACGTTTTTTGTCGACGCGCAAATTGCAGCGACAGCCTGTGGCCTGCCACTGTGTGAGTGTCAATGTGTGTACGAGTGTCGAGTGTCGAGTGTGTGTGTGTTTGTGTGTGTGTGTGTATGACTATAATTTCATTTGTGGTACATAAAACTTTTGCTGGCGCTTCATCTCGCATTGAGCGCTCAAAGCGCTAAAGCGTCTAAACGTACAAGTGAGAGAGAGACAGAGACAGAGCGAGAGTGAGCGAGAGAGAGAGACTGTGTGTGAGTGTGAGTGAAAGAGCGAGAATTACATTAAACTAATTGCTTTAGCTTGTCATTGTTGTTGCTCTCATGTATTTATTGTTAGTGAGGCTTTTAGGCGAAACCAAATTATATTTACTTGTATGTCAAAATACATTTTTGTATGTGTGTGTGTGTCTGGTTGTGCGTGTGTTAGTGTTTGGCTATTGTACAAAATTTGAGGCAGCTGCACACTTTGACAAGCACTGTGCATGTTCTTGCCAGAGCGGGACAGGCAGATTGCCAGCAGCAGCAACAACAACAACACTCGAGTCTGCAATTACCTTTGACCTTAAGCACAACAACTCAAACAAGCGCTGCGAAATCAAATATTTAAGCCAGCGTACACACGCACACACACAGACACACCTCCATCGACACTGACAGAGGCTGACTGTGCGCCACGCCCACCGCAACAAGCACAGCAAAAAAAAAAAGGATTCGGAAACGCTTTTTGGGTTTATTAAAATGCAAAAGTGTTGAGTAATTTGCGGGCAGCTTTCGCCTACTTTGTTGTTCGAGCTGTTGCCTTGAATATTTCAACAACGCAGCAGCGCGGCAATCATGTAAATTCCCTTGTTCGTGTTGTTGTTATTTCCCGGACACTCGTTGCCCGCTTTACGCGTACAAATTCATCAGGCTACAAACGAGCCGGCCCCGCCCAGCGCATTGTGTCAACAATCCAAACACCAAACGCCCTGGACTCTCTACAGCGATATCGGCGGCATAAAGTACACAAATAAATAAAAAAAATAAAAATATATAGAAAGCACTCTCTCTCCTGGTAT